ATAGGAGATTTCAAACCCCAAGAGTCAAGTTATTCTGTAGACAAAGAGAAGAGGAAGTTTCTAAGCAAGCTCTGTAAATGGGTCCTTAGTTTTGGTGCTGCTGGGACCTCAGCTGGCACATGGTGGGCAGGGCTGAAGGATGGAGACCAATTTAAAAAACGAGGCAGAGGACAGCAGCAGGTGGGGTCTCTTAAAGACAGGTAAGGAGAAATGAGCTTGTTTTGTTAAAGGAAGAAAATCCTGCAAGTACATGAAAGGTGGCAGCAAAGAAAGGGGTGATGAACTCTCCTGGGGCAGATGTGCAGGAAAGAAGGAATAAATTTCAGATGCAGCAGGGACAGTTGAGATGATCTGCCCTGTGGTGAGGAGTTAGATGCTGTAGTAGTTCACCTAGCTGAGAAGTTTGGAGTTTACCATGATCATGGGGCAGGAGGTCATTTATTTGTCATTTATTTTGGAAAAATGGGCTAGGGAGCCGTGTCAGAGAAATGTTTTGTGTGTATAGATGAGCGTGTTTCAGTGTAGGAGGATGGACTCGGTGACTGTCACATCCCCTCTGGTCCTGTGACTCAGCTGCTGCGTGACATCTGCAGCTTTAGGTTTGTTCTTGTACAAGGAGCTTATTAACCTATATTTCTGCAATTCCCTGAAAGTCTGTATGTGTTCTTCTTGGTATCTTCAGCTTTGACATCGGCAGGCAGCTCACAAAGGAGCTGGGCTGTGTTTTGAAGAGTTCATTTTCGTGGGGGCTGTAGGTTGTGCTGTACGTGACTGATGAAAGATCTTTCCCAGCATTAAAGCCGGTCACAGCCCCGATAAATCTGGAACAAATTCTGAGAAAGCATGTCATGTTATGACTGGCATATCTGTGAGCATGGAGCTCTGCTTGAGAATTAGACTCAGAGTTTGCAAAGTGCTAGTGCTGATGTCATTCCCTTGGAATGGAAAGGCTGTTGAAACAGTAAATACTTTCTGTGGCCAGAAGCTAAGTCTTGAGCTGGACCTTTTCCTCTCTTCGAAGGAAAGAATGCAGAACAAACCTAAAATGTGTATTTGCAATGGGAAAATCTTAAATAGTTTAGAGCTTTTAGCTATTTCAAACCATTTACATACACAGCTGCTGTTCATGCAAACATGTAAACTATTGATGGAAACTTCAAACTTACCTTGAACTGACATTTTTTCCCCTGTTTTTTAAAGCTGTGCTTGGTGTTTAAAAGTATGGTTGGAAAGGTCTGAAAATTATATTTGTGCTGTACGTGCAGAAAGGAACATAGACATGGGCTAACAGAAGTATAGAATAAAAAGCTTTAATTCAGCAAAACTTGACACTAAAACCTGTTAGCACCAAACAGCTGCTGAGAAAGTGTGTAGATTTTTAGGGGCATTTACTCCTGGTTTTATCTATAGAGTTTTGTTTATTATTCCAAAACTCCGAAAAAAGAGAGGACTTGATGTGGTTCAGGTCTTTCAGCTGGCTTTTCTGCAATAAAAGATTAGTCTAAAACATTGGATCCAAAGAACCCACGGCCTGGGAATTAGAACCTAATGCTGTAGTGTAATATCTCTCAGACAGTGAGATTAGCAGGGTAACTCAGATTTTTGTACTGTCCCTCAGAGGACCCCATTAAGCATTCACAAGGAATTCATCCCCACCCCCAGCTTCCTCCTAGGAGGAAGAGTTTTGCCATGACAGATGTGGGGAACAGATGTTGAGAGGAAAAGTTAAAATGGGACAATGACCTGAAGTGTTAGCTGGGCTCTCCCTTGACGTGACTGAGCTTCTGTTCCTGATGGCAAAAGCAGCTCCTGCTGCCTGCCCCTGACATGCAGAGATTTTCTGTCTTCTGTCAGATACTCGGTGCTCAATCAGTTGAGGGAGAGGAAGGGACAAAGATTGAAATGCAAATCAACTGTCTGTTATTCAGGGACTATTAGTCCCAGGTAGGTGAATCATGCTCAGCCACCCACCACCTTTCCTGAGCAGTTCTAGGTATTTTTTTTTGAACCTGGATCACCTGTTTTACATCAAGACTTGCCCATCTCTTGCTGCTCTTCTTGCCCACTTTTCCACCACTGCATCTGTGATGTCCAGCAGATGCTCATGCTCCTTGTCCCTAGATGCTCCAGTGAGCTAATTTAGAGTATAGAGCTGGTGGCTGCTGAGTAACAACAGAGAGCCAGGAGGAAAGGCCTCCCAGCAGCTCTGTGTTACCAGATAGAGCATATCAGAGTTTCTTTCCTTCTCTATCATCTTCTATTTCAAAAGGCTTTTTGCTCTTTGTTGGCTTGGAAGGAAGATGTTGAGCTTGATACTTGAGAGAGATTGGCAGGTCAGAGCAACTTCCCTGCTGAGGGAGGGATTTGGGACAGGTCTCGTTCTCCTTAGCTTAGTCTAGCTCAGGAGACTGTGAATAATCATGTTTATTACAGAAAGGAAGTCAGTCATCCATAGAAGCCTGAGATTTTTTTTTTTTATGGCTCTTGAAATGGGAAACTTAAGTATTTGGAATACTTTAATTCTTGATAACTACTCCTGAGGTCCCCTTTCAACCTGCAGTATTCTCTGATGCTATTATAGACATAATTTGTGGATATTTATTGCTTTTCTGTGTTTAATATTTGCTTTATTTTCACAGGACATTATTTGTTATTTGTATCCCATTCCCTCTTTCTCTCCCCAAAGTCTTTGAAGAAGACTTGTCTTCTTCTACCTCCAGCTTATCTGTATGAACTCTTGGTGACATAAATGTCCACATTGACCTCATAAACGTCCACATGTCTGTAATAACACAAGGCTTCTGTATCTGGTACTCAGAGTCATTCTCTGTGTGAGCAAGATACATAGTTGGGACACTAATGTAAAAAAATTCCCTGAGTAGGACACTTCATTGGGAAGTTTGATTGAAGTAATTAAATTATTATTTATTTGCTGGGCATACCCACCTCCCTTAAGTCTTGGAGTCAGTTCCTGTGCCTGGAGCAGTTTGAACCCTCAGCCCTGACCTGCAGAGAGTCAGAGGACTCGGTTACTGTACAAAGCAATCACCTTTCTTGGGAGAGGGAAATGAGATTTCTTTGGGCTTCAGGGTTTGTTTTCCTCTCCTGCTCAGTGTGACAGAGCATCCTTGCTAGAAAGCAGAGAGAGGAAAGAAAATTCAGTCCACATGTTTGGGATTTAAGGTTGAGAGTGATTCACGCTCAGCTTCTGGGGGTTGTAATTAGGGGTGACATAATAACCATAAACTTTTGATAAAATAGTAGCAGCTTTTTTTGTTACACTCGGAGCTGCAGAAGCTGGTTCTCATTAGCATCCCTTCGAGATAAGCCTGCAGGATCTCCACAGTGTGCAGATCTGGCTCCAGGCTTTTGTGGCGCAGTTCAACTTCTGTACTGATGCTGAAAGGAACCCTGCATTCTGAAACACCCCAAATTTTGACATTTTCACTTGGATCAGCATCTCAGCCTTTTCCTTAGCCATTTTAGTCCATCTGTGTAATTTTGAAATCAGTATTATCATATTCTGGCTCAATCCTGCCAATTTATGCTCTTTATAATACACTCTGTGGGTTATCTGCTATGGAAAAAAACAGTCTTGCTATCCTCAACTTCTCCTGAAATATTACTACTCATTTCTTTTCCAAGTGGCTGAGACTAAAAAGAATCCAGGAATGTGTGCAGCAGGAGATCTGTCATTCCCAGTCCACACCAAGGTGCATTCTTGTAGGGAGAGATGGGCATTTACACTGGAATTCTGCCATCAGCATTCAGCCAATTTTATTTTTTGGCAGTCGAGCACATGGAATTTTTAAAAAGAAGATCTACTTTTTAAAAGCAGGTCACAGACAAAAATAAAGACACATTCTTGGGCTACGAGAAGTAGGTCAGGTTTTGGGGGAATCATTAGTGAAAGCTGTTGATCTGATCCCACCTGTTTATTAATGTTTTTTGCTTCCTATGCCAAGTACGTCTGGCTCATTTTGCTTTAGGTGAGATATGCTCTTCTGCTTTGGTGAGCAAACTTTTTTGCATTAACATTTTCAAAAAGAAAAATCCAAAAAACAGGAAAATATGTTCCTAGTTTTCCATTAGAGAATACTGTAGTGGAAAGTGAGGCCTCTCTGTGCTGTCGTCCAAAAGGAATAAAGCTGCTTTGTGTCACCTCATTACTCTAAGCTGATGTTTTACCTCAAGATTGTTTTGAGGAGGGAGGATGAGGGCAAGGCTGATTCCACTGCTCAGAGGATGGCCTCTGCAGCACCTTCTGCACAATCATCCCTTAATTTAGGGGGAGGATTTCACAGCCTGTAGGTACCTCTGTGCAGCCCCTGCAAGAGCTGCTGTAGCAGGCACAAGGCTCAGGCAGGGAGGATGGATTGCTGCTGGACAGACTTGGGAATTTGCCTGGCATCACTTTATTGCCTCCACAGCTGGAAGGTGGCTCTGAAGGAGCTTTGGGCATTGTCCAATTCAAGGACAGGTGGCTGCAGGGTGGGTGCTGGGGCTCAGGGCAGGCACCTGTGTGGCTCCCCTGGGTTTTCCCTGCATGGGACAGGGACAATTGTCCTCTCCAGAGCCCAGGAGGGCAGCCCAGGCTGCAGCTACTGGAGAGAGGGTGGGTTTGGTTAACAAACCAGGGTGAGGTTCAGCAGGAACTGAGAAACCCCTGGGCTTCTTTCACAGCCAGGTTCTGGAAGCAGCACCCTGGTTTTACTCTCTGAATGCAGATCACAATTAATAGCACTGTTTGTGGAGGACGCCTCTACAAATAGTCTCGTGTTTCTGAATATCTGCAATTACTGGAAGCTTCATTCCCTCCTTTTCCTCTTTTAATTTTTTGTAATATTAACCCATGTAATTGCGTGCCTTAAAATCACAAGGCAACTGATATTCATACAGAGGTAATGTGTGTCTCCCCTATTTTTATTTATGTAACTGAATTTTTTGTTTAATTTTGGTAATTTATTTCTCTTCCTCTTTCCACATTCTCTATTTTACAGAATTTGATTCAGAAACAAAAAGGGTTCAAGACATTCTTTCTGGAATGGAGAAACCACAGGTATGTGATTCCAGATTGCCACACAAATGTACAATAGCAAATGTGAAAAGATTGTGTCACAACACACTGGTAATTTCACAGGGGAGCACCTCTGATTTTTTTCCCTTAGCAGATTGTTGCCAATAACTCATTTTACTGGGATATAAATCTGAAGGATCTTTTGTGCTCATGGATGTTTGAGGGCTCTGCCCACTCCAGGAATTGCACCAGTTGTTTCCAGAGGACAATTCCCAGTATTCATACTATAATTCATGTTATGGGGAGCTCAATGCACTGGGATGACTTGCATAGCTCTTACCCCCTCTCCCCTGGGTTTCATTTTGTCATGAGCAATTTATGTCTTTAATCATGATTAAATTAAGCTAATTCTATTATTCAATGGCAAATTACTGTAGTCTGTGTTTGTCTGAGCCATAAAAGCCTGTGAATTATGATGGAATTGAATCACCCTGTAAATAACCCTAATGCTGAGTGTGACTGCAGTCAGGTGAGGTTATTAATAAATCTGGTTGTAAGCCCTTTTTTAGTTTGGTGTGTCAAATGAAAGCCAGAAGAGCACTGTGGGTCTGAATGGATGGTCCAAGCCAGCACTGGAAGAAGCAGTGATGGGGCAGAGGAAGGCAGAAATCCCAAAGCACAGCCTTTGCTCTCCAGAGCTCAGGCCTTTCTCTGTCCAGCTGGAGAGGTAGGGCACAAATAAGCAAATAAATAAAAAATAATGGTGGAAAGCTCATGGGAAGACTTGGTTCAGCTGATACAGAGACACTCTGCAGTGGGAGCCTTGGCTGCAGAAGTGGCAGGGCTCAGGGGGAGCCAGGTGTGAGCACAGGCTGAGTTTTATTTTTTGGACTCTCTTCTGATGGATGCTTTTGTTCTGAATAAATACAAAAGGTGTTTGGTCTTTAAATTGCTCCACCAGTAGGTGCTGGTGTCCTGGCATGGGCAGGAGCTGGTTCAAAGCCAGCCACAATCTAAGCCAGGCCTGCAGAGATGATGAACACCAGCCTGAGTTCTGCTCACAAGGAAGAAGTCGCTCCACTGTGTGTGGAAACAAGTGACAATACTGAGCTGAAGACTTAAGAGTTTCAGGGTGCTCAGAAGGGAAGAAAGTGCACTTAGCAGAGAATTAGGCTCATTTGTTGTACAGAGGGAGTCAATATTTTTGTACCAAGGACCACCCGAGTGTTTCTCATTTAGTCAATAGCCACAGCCAGGTGCTTTTACAAAGATTCAGAGAGCTGACAAGAAAAATGTGTTGTTTCATACTTTTATCTTTAGAGGTAGGAAGAGAAGCTATTAGAGCAATTTGCAGGATTCTGAGATCTGGACAATTAAATTTATAGTAATCAGAGGCTTTAAAGCAGAAAGAAGCAAAAAACCAAAAAAATAAGACAAAAATAGTCTTCGTTTAATCATACCAAAAATAGGATTAAAAAAAAGAAATCTAAACCATAGCAAATGCTGGTTCAATAATAATGACATTTACTGAGGTGATGTTGGAGATTATCTGTTGTTCTTTCTCTGTAACTTTGACATTTGTGAGTAATTAAACTCACAGGACTCTCACCAGTTGTGAATTGCTGTGAATGATTCTGTGTGTGTGTAGTTAGTACTACATCTGATAGAAATATATCATTTTATGCATAAATAGTCATCTTGGTCATGTTTCTTGGCAAGTCTTATGCATATACAAGTGAAAAATAAAACAATGTATAGGAAAAAAAAATAATGCAAAGAAAAAGAACACAGAGTGGTGAGTCAGTGATAAGTGGGTGATGCTGTGTGTGGAACACATGGATTTGATTTGTCCCAGTGTGCAGCTCCCCCCATCCATGGGGGGATGAAGCCATCCCAAGGGATTAGCCTTGTGAGCAGCTCCTGCAGGAGAGCTGTCACTGGGAGGTGTCTGGATCTTACAGGTGCCTCTCTGACTGCAAAATATACAAAATTATTACTTCATGAAAGCTCTGTTTTCAGTAATAGATATTGTTACTTGTTTGAGAGATGTGCTGCTGAGCTGTAAATTTAATCAGAGCTTTGTCCCTTTAACAGCCAGAATTTTAAAAGGCGCCTTTTGCTTTCAATCCCCCATGGTTCTGTGTCAACTGAAATATGTTTTTAATTCACGTTATCACAGACAAAGTAAGCATTCTCTGAAACAAATACCTCGGTGAGGGGAGGGAAACTTGACTCTGGGGTTTCTGAAATGCTGCATCCGACAGCCAAGGGGCTGGGGGGGACATCAGCCCCCGTGGGGAATCACCAGGGCTCTGTCAAACCACAGCTCAGACGGCAGCCTGGCTGTCCTAAAGGCAGCCTGCTCCTGCTGACTGGCTCTGCAGCGAAACTCATATTTAATCACGGGGGTTTTTGCCTAAAATTGCAGGATTAGAGCCATAATTTAAAAGCAGATTCTCAACCTAGTAATAACTGTGAATTCATTTGACCCCCAAGCCTTTCAAAGCGTGCCCTCGAGGGAGTAAATGAATGTTGCTTGCAGTGTAGTTCTCACACATACAATGAGCCCCCGAACCACACGATGCCTGTGAATGCTAACCCGGAATTTGAAAGATAATGGAAGTTGTACAGAAACATTTTTCATTACCTGAAAGACGGGAAGGGCCGATACTCATCAGTCTTGTAACCTTATTGAAGTGGTGCAGGAGTTGGATTCTTTCCCAGGGGCTTTTATGGAATAATTATTTACACCACCGAGTTTTGATAGAGCAGAAAGGAGGCATTTACTGTGTAAACTGAGAAGTTTTCAGAAACTAATTAACTGTGCTTTTCACCAGACGTACAGAACTCCTTGTGGGAGAATCTTTTGTTAGGTCTCAGCTAAAAGGCCAAGCCAGCCCTCTTCAAAGCAAGCACAGTGATTTTGGGGACAGATGAGACAGGCTGGGGGAACTCAGAAGCAGCATGAAGGTTTACCTGCCCAGGGAAGAGATGCTCTGGCTGCTTGTTTTCTCAGATGGAATTAGTGCACTGTTGATGAACAATAGGCTGGGTTTTTTTAGAAGTATTTCTGTTTCAAGTTCAGAAGGGCCATCAAGCCCACCATGGTGGTGGTAGCTGGGCTGTTCCTTACAGCCTGAAGAGGGCTGGTCCAGGTCTGTACCTTGGGAAAGGTGTTTGTGTAAGTTAGAAAAGTTGGAGGTAAAGATACTGAACTGTTCTACAAGGGCCTGCTTGTTATTCTCAGCATATCATAACTCCATTTATTTAACTTTGCTTTTTTCACAGCAAAGCTAGTGCTTCCTGCTCCAGGTAGGAGTTCCTTGGTAAGCTAAGTGGTGGCTTTGGCCAGGAAAGGAGATACTGGCAGGTGACTGTGATATGGTATCAGCCTGCTGGTCAGGGAGCAGCAGATAGGTTTATCTCCAGCCACACAAATAAATCCATTCCCAGCTGACGTGCACAGCCCAGGGAAGGAATAGATTTGCCTTTTCTGACTTATCTTGCAGACAGTGACCCCTCACTTGCTTCCCTACACTTGCTGTGTGTGCTCAGTGCAGCTAAGGCTGGTATTTAACAATTTCTGGTGTTTATTTTTAAACCTCCAGCAGCAGTTGCTGTGTACCTACGATTTCCCAGGCAGCCACTCTGGGTACTCCTTCCTTCTGAAATTAATGGAGCAGCTTAGCAACTGCCTTTGGACTTTTATCCTCTGTGTGCTGGCTTCAGAATAATAGTCTGACAGTTTCTAGCAGTTAGCCCACAAGATACTTTCTCTTATTTTAAGAAACCCAAGACCTAACTTTTTACAGATTGCTGAAGTTTGTGGAGGGCCAGAGTTTTGCCGTATGTGGAATATATACGTGTGTCCTTGGGAGTAGTCATAGAGAAAAACATTTCAAATAGAACATTGGCAGGATATCATGCCTCCAGCTCCAAGTCTGTCTGAATTTATGAAAAACAATTATGCAAGCATATTTCCATAATAAAAGAAACTGCATGTTGATCGGCTGAGCTGGCATAGTAGTAATGTCTGTTAAAAAATCCTAAAATCTATTTGGATCTTGTTAATCAGCTTTTGGATCAAAATATTATTTTAAATGCGGATTTTTAGCTCTTCAGTATCTTTGCTACAATTTCATTTACGTACATGTGTGTATATACATGTATGTGCATATCTCAAAAAAAACCACTTTACTTGCTTGAATCATGCAAGATTCTTACAAGGTATCTTAGCCAGTATCAGGGTTAACTTCTCCAAGTTTTTGAAATCAACATTGATTTCATAACATCAGAAAAATCTGATAAGAAAAATGCCATGAAAGCAAGAAATGCCATGCAAATTCATAAAACAATTTGCACATCCATGTTTTTTACAAAGAAAGCTCGATGCTACTTAGACCTTCTTGCCTAAAACTTATTTTTCACATTAGGTTGAACAAGGATTTTCTTTTTTTTGGCAAGACTTGAATGTGCTGCTATAAATTAAAATCTCTAACTTTTGAGATCATGGTGTTTATGATGAGACATTTCATGGTGTCACCTACTTGTCAGGCTGTTAAAAATGGATTTATGACTTGCTCAGAAAGAATCTGGTTGATATATGGGTATCAGACACAACAGTTGCAGTGCTCATCAGCTGGAAGCAATGTGTTTTCACACGAGAAGGTAAATATTCTCCATTATATAAAGATATCTAGAAGCTGGATTTGTAAACAAGCAGTCCCTCAAAGCTGATTGCTAATGCTTCATTCCCAAGTAATTTGGGGTAAGGGGTTTCACTTGTCTCAACAAAAGTTAGGAAATGTGTAACTGAGCACCTGCAGCATTCATGTCACACTTTCTGAAATAACAACATCTTGCTCTTTGTGTTGCAAAAATCTGTCAAAATTATAGATGCAGTGAAATTTGTTGCATAGGAAAAATAAAGAATACAAACCCTCAGTCTTTGATTCCTCCATATGAAGGCTAACTAAAAAATATTCTTCATATATTCACTACAATTAAGAAGGAAAAACACCATTATTTTCATGATGAAAAGTGGAGAGTTGGTGGCAGAGCATTTGAGGCTCTGGCGACTTTGAGGCTTCCCTGGGATATTTCAGCAGGTTTGTGTGAAAATGTGCTGCCTTTCCCAGATAACCAGTGCAGCTATTGCTTGTTATTTATTTTTCTTTTGAGGCAGTAGCAGGGGGGATTTTTTTTTTTTTTTTTTTGTTCTTCCTTCTTGGCCTGATAACAGAAGGCTGCTCTCTGGGGAGCTGCTGTTGGCTGTGTGCAGCTGATGTGCCAGTGGCTCTCCTGGTGAGCAAGGTGATACTAGTTCTGTAAGCTGTGTGAACCTGGCTCTCCAGAAGAATACAGTGGCACTGGTGGGGTGATAAAATAGGTTTGGTGCAGGAGTTGGAGGTACTTTTCCCATATTTTATTAAAAAAGATTCCTTACCCCTCTGCCATGGAGTTGTTGCACTCAGTGGTGACTGCAGATCACACACAGTCCTTCTGTCAAGGCACAAAGTGATTGATTTCCAATGTAGTTTTTAACTGACAGGTTGGACTTCTATTATGATTTTTCCTTGTGCTTTTGAGCCAGTGTAACTTTCCAGGTTGAATTGGGTTTTTCTACTTACTTGCTGTTGAGTTACTGAAGTTTCAAGTGGCAAGAAGGAGCAGGATGACTGAAAAAGTCATTAGAGTTTCATTGAAAAAGCTCCCCAGCAAAAACTTCAGAAAAATAATTGTGTGTAAAACAATCTATAGGTTGAAGTCTTTGTTCCACTTAGTTCCAGTTCCTTTCTGGGAATGGCCACAGCAGCAGGTACCTCCAGAGGCATCCTTTGCTGAGTGCTCAGACAGTGATGAGCCAGTTCACTGCAGGGGAGTCTCTCTGTGTATTCTCATCTGTTGGAGATCACTTTTTGCCATGAATCGCTGTTTTTGTTTGTGTTGTTGATCATTTCTGACCCTTTACTTTTCAACTCTAGCTCTGAAATGTCCATTTTGCAAGAAATTTTGAAGATGCAAGCAAAAAGCAAATGCTTACGGAATAGCAGTTTTCCCTCGGATTTCAGATTAACTGATGTTTTTTCTTATAGGTGACAAATATTCAAGCAAGAACAGTTTTGCTTTCCTGGTCACCTCCCCCTGGCCTTCTCAATGCAGATAGACACAACAACGGTTTGCCTTACACCTGTACCTACGAGGTTGCCTTATCAGATAAAGGGAGGGATGGAAAATACAAGACCATTTACAGGTAAAAACCATCATTGTTACACTCTTTTTTTGTTCATTAGGCGTAAATTCTCTGAGTTTTTCAGGGTGTATCCTGTCACAGAAGAAAGGCACATTTGAGCATCCTGTTTCCTCACCAGAGGAGCTTGCAGGGAGCTGGTGGAGTGCATTGTCACAAGGTCCCTAATTGCCACCCCATCCCACCTCCCCGGCCGTGGCAGATCCTGCCTGCAATGCCATCACTCCCATTGCCAGTGAAAAGGTTACTTTTTCTTTTATGCTAAATGTCAAAACCTTTCGTGTACACCATGCAGGCAGGAGAGCTGCCTTCCTAATGGGCTAGTTTTGTGTGGACTTGCAGAATTTAGAAGAGTAAGATCTTGTTATTTCAGCTAACGAGAAAAATGTGAGGGCTTTGCTGCTTTGTAGTGTCTTGGATGAGCAGAGGGGGGAGTACAGCAGTCAGTAGGTTACAGAGGCTCCCCAGAAAAACCCAAACACTTGGCTCTCAGCAGGCTTCAGTAAAAGTTCTGAGGGATTTCTCTGTGTCTCCTTGCAGTGATCCTCTGAGCTCATTCTGTGATCAAGTACATATGGTGTTATGCCTTTCTTTTTCCTTGCTAATGACGTCTAGGAAAGAGAATTTGGAGATGTGACCTTGGCTATTGTGAAATAGCTGATCCTTCCCAAATCTCATTAAATAAAGTCCAGGTGATAGAGCATTTAAGGAATTACCTCTTGAGACCAAGCCATCTCCTTTCTTAAGATGTCCTGTGAATTAGGGTATTCCACTTGGTATGCTGAAGGCAGGTCTTGGATAATACAGAAAGGGTCTATTAACCAGGGAAAGGCTGCTTGAGTTTACTCTTTTTCTGGCATTTACAGCAGCTGTTTGTGAGCCAACGTGAGCATCTCCATAGTCAAGTGTGTGCTGCTGAGCTTTTAAAGTGGGAAGGACACTTTCTAGTACTTCTTGTGCTTGATAGCTGCACATTTTCCCCTGGTTATGAAATGTTGTGCATCTGTTTTAAAGCTGCTGGTGGTGATGTGTCTCCTGCTGCTGGCCAGAGCACAGCCTTTAGCCTGATGTGGTATGTTCCATCAGGAGCAGCAGTAATTGTTATTACTATAGGCAAAAGGGAGTCTGCAATATGTTGAATACATTGTCTTTGGAAGGAGGTGCACTCATTTCAGAGGGGAAAAACTGGATTTGCAGAGCATTGTGTTATATAAAATGAAAAATAGAAGGCTTTCTGGTGGATTTCTGGCAACCCAGCAGGCATGTGCTTTCTGGTGGATTTTGTTCTATTGATTTTGAGACATCTCCCTGTATTTGTCCAGCTAGCTATGAAATATTTCTTTATGCTAAATTGAGAGCTTTCTTGTTTCCCATATTTTAATAAAATAATGAATAAGCCAAACTCTTACATGAGATGACTATTACTTATTAAGCACTGACCCGTACTTTAATCTTCACAGATTTGGCAACACATGACTGAGCCCAGTGTTCATTTACCAGCAAACAAGCCAGAAGGAAAAAGAATAGCCCTAACTATGTTGGCTGCTTTTGAAATTAATAGATTGTATGCAGTTTTTTTTCTTAAAATGTCGAAAACACTTTGCTTTAAGTTGTCTTGGTATTGAAAGAGAGCTGGGTCCAGCTGTTTGGGTGTTAATTAAATGTCTCCTTGCTGTGGTCCTTACAGGGAGTGTATTTCTGGAGGAGAAAGCAATAAGTGAAACAGTTGTGTGAAAAACTCTGCTTTTTCCTCTGAAGTTCAATGGGTCACTTTGTATAAAGTATTTTGAATAGGAAATATGCAGAAACTACAACAATAATGTTTGGGTTTCGCTCTTTTCAGCTCTGGGAGGGTTGAAAACCACAATGAGCTTTATACAAATATCAGCAAAATATAAGCATTGAATTAAACACATTTTTAGTTTACTGAATAAGTTGGTGATAAATTCTTTTCTTCTGTGCATATGGAGCTTTATGAAGTTTTCAAGAAATGTGAAGTGTGTTGACAAATTGTTGGTATATGGTTTGTTACTGTTTCTCTTCGGAGGGATTGTTTTTCTTCTTTCAATTATATCACTAGAAAATCACTAGCTATGCTAAGTGTGATACTGCTTTTCATAATTTACTAATTGGTTGGGTTTGGATTTCTTTCCTACAGTGGAGAAGAATTAGAATATCACCTGAAGGACCTTAGGCCAGCAACAGATTATCATGTCAGGTAAGTTAGCATGATTTGAGTGTCACTTAAATATAAACTCTTCAATTATATGAGAATAAATATGAAAGATTGTAAAGTAAATACACAGTGTAGTTCAAGAATTTCTTGGTCACCTCTGTAAGTGTGTTTTTCAGTGGTTTCTAAATATTTTATCATAGATTTTATCTTGGACTGTGAGGGTTCTTTTTGAGCAATGTCTTTCATTGTGTTGCTGTCGCTGCTGTAGTAAGAGGCAAAAAGCAATTTTTTTATTTGTGTTTCTATATGGATAACAGGCCTGGAAGTGCTTATGTCTGAAAGTAGGATATCTGAGGTCATCTAAAAATTTGACTCGAGCAACTGGTGTTTCTTCAGTTCCTGTAACATGACCACTGGAAGTACCCCACGCTTTTTTCATAAGTAGGCCACACTTTGGGAAATAAATCTGCTGAATACAGATCCATCTGACCATAGTCACTGCAGCATTTATTCCAAGAAAGAAAGGACTCCCACTGAACTGTGTCGATATTTTCATAACATATTTCTCTTTGGTTCTGAAAGTGTGTTTTACACATTTATTAACTATTAACACATTCTAGTTTTGCTCTCTGATGGGTTTAACACTGTGTCTTGCTCATGTTGCTTTTTTTTAAAGACTTTATTTATGAACCAAGGCTTTGAATTTACATCCTGTTCACTTACACTCAATATCCTTTTTAAGAAAAATACCTTTCACTTCTGTTTTTCCAGACAAAGGCTAGGTTTGGCACACTGGTTCACATCAAGATTGCTCCTGCTTGTAAAATGTTAAAGAACAAACACCTTGCTTCTGAGCTCTAAAAAAAAAAAATCCAACACCAAAATCATTTAGCTTTGATACTATAGATCCTTTTTATTTTTAAGGATTGTTTCTAGTGGAGCCCTAAAATAAACTTTTCAAGTAGAAACACAAGACCAGAAGGAACTTTTCATCAGTGAGGAAAAGATGCAGCTCCCAAGTGGGGCAGGAGTCTTGGCCTTAGCAGCAAAGGGATGGTAACAAGGAGAAGGTTGTAAAACACTGGTGAGCTTCCTTCTGAGCATTGAACATCTCTTTTGAAGCCAACTTCAAACACCAGAGAGGTCACCATGCACAGCTGGGCTGAGGTCTCAGCCATTTTTAGGGGAGTTGTGGGTATTTACCCCAGGTCCTGGCTGACTTTCCTCCCAACCTCCCAACAGTTCCCTCCACCTTCTTGCAGGTTTGCCAAAATACAGGTTGTTTATAAAAGGTTAACAATAACTTCTGTTTAAAAAGGTGTGACAAATACCAAAGTCAGACTTGCAGAGCAGCAGCACAGTTTGTAGTGGAGCGAGCTGACACTGAAACAGCAGCTGCTGGTTGGTTCTTTTTTCCTGCACTGAAACTGCATTATGTGTTAATGACTGCAAAGAAATAAATCTGTTGAGTAAAGAAATTTATGGGGCCAGCAGTTACTTGGGTCTCCTTGACCTTGGCAGCATCTCTCAGAGCTTTTCTCTACTGGACAAGCTGCTTGTGCTGCTGGGCCCTGGGACTACCTGGAACAACTTGCTCTGAGCCACCACCTGCTTCCCTTCAGGTGTGATGTCTCGGTGCCCTCAGAGCTGGTTGTGCTCAGTGTTTCAGTGGCTTGCAGAAGATGCCCCCTGAGCTCATTTTCACAAGGTTTTATTTCCCTTGGGGTGTGTGGTGAATGCTGGGCCACGCTCATTTCCAGCACACACATGTTCCACTTGCCAGATGCAGACTCAATTAATTAATTGCATTTCTTGTTGCTCCTGCCTGTTAACAGGTGATGTGTAAAGCAGCACCAGAGCAATTCTTGTCTGCCTCCCCCAGAAGGTTTGATTCTATGTAGGTGGCCATTGTACATAAATTACTCTTATCTACTGAAAACAAATTTAGAAATTGCCCTTTCTGTAGTTCTGCATTCAAGCACACAATAGCTACAGCCAGCTCAGAGGTCATTGTCTGGTCATGGCCTGAACTTTTTTTTGAGTAGAAGACTCCCAATTTGTACTTTGCTTTTGCTGCATGGAAAATGTGAAGGGAAAAAATAACATCATTACTTTTTCAGAGAAAAGCACCTTGTTGAGGAAGTGCTCAACTATATCCTATTTGCTTTCCCATATTATTTGTTATTGCATGTTCTGTGTTGACATGTGGAGGATTTGCCTGAAATCAAATGTGCTTTGAAGATTTTTAGTTTATGACAGCAACGTTGCAGACCTGTGTTAGTTCTGGTCCGTGGAGGTCCACTAAATGTTGATGCCTGAGTTATTTAGGAGAAGATTGTACCCATGGAAGGAGACCAGCAGACACCTGCACTCAACATGGTGCACGTGGATCAAATGTAAACCAGGCATTAAAGTTGATACCTTTTTTCTGTTGTATTTCAAGGAGGATTTTACCAGAGTATGTGGAATAGGCATGGAAATATTAATGGAAAGAAAAGATAATGAAGATAACTCAGTAGTCTGTGTGAATATTTGCACAAAACACTGTTCCTCATCTGCTGTAATTTTTTTTGCATTCTTGTATAAATGAAGTGAAGTAAGGATAGCCATTGGTCTGTGAAATGTCTGTCATTAGTGGATGGTATCATGTGTACTTTGGTGGTCAAATACTGTGGCTGAGGCAGTGCCACTGTAACTGTCAGCACATTTATAACCCATTTGAATACTGTTTCCAGGGTATATGCAATGTACAACTCAGTGAAGGGATCCTGCTCTGAGCCAGTAAGCTTCACCACTCACAGCTCAGCACCAGAGTGTCCCTTCCCACCAAAACCCTCGCACAGGACCAAAAGCTCCTTAACCTTACAGTGGAAGGTAGGTACCACTTGGCTGGGGCAAAAGCAGGGAAAAAGAACTGACACTGAGCATAAATGTTGGAAATAATTGAAAGTTGAGACAGTCATTTTTCAGTAAGGGACTTGAACTTGCTGTACTCTGACAAATCCCTTCCTGTGCACCGACTTGACTTTTAAAATGTATGTGTTTCATTATGTCCAGCTTCTTCCCAGCATTCCTTAAGAGGTTGCCAAGCCATATGCAAAGCTTTGGTTTCACTTGAAACTCTACTCGTTTGCCTGGGGGAGGTGAAGCCATTTTCTCTGATTCCCCAAATCACCTTTTGTTTATTTTTGTTCATAGGCACCCATTGATAATGGTTCAAAAATCACCAGCTACCTTCTGGAGTGGGATGAGGTAAGTAGTAACTAGCTGAAATAAATACACAAATAAATGGCACTCAGACTTTACAAGGATTTGCTGAGTAAAGAAAAGTAATTAAATACAGGAGAAAGTAGAAATGGGAAAATGAAATCCTGATGGCATTAGGTAAAGAGTTGGAAAGGTGAAAGAGGCTGTGGGGGGAGCCCTTTCCAATCAGTGTATTTTATATAGTGACAATGCCAGTTTCTGTACCCTTGAAATCTTATATCACTCATTTTGTGTGCTTTATTTGTTAATTAGCATTACTTACTATTTAATTACTTGGGATGTATCTTACAGTTCTGTTCATGATCTCTTTCTTCTGCTGCTGAGTGCAGAATAAACACCTGTTCCTGCCTTAGAGGAGAGGAGCCATGATCTTGCAGACCTGTCTATAGAGAATGTACTCAGGGTCAAAATCAGTGTCCTTTGTGTAGTGGCAATTAGCCCCCTTCCAGACACAAAGGGAAATAAGTTTTCTCCTAAATATCTTCTATGGTTAGTGAGCACTGGGCTGTTGGGAGAGTGCCCTGACAGATGACGTGCAGGATTTGTTGGAGGTATGTTCTTGTGAGTCCTCCCTCTTGTCCCCCACTTTCTGCCCCCTTTCCTTTGTGCAAGCCATATTTCTGCAGAAAGCACAAGTCAGAGAGTATTATCTCTGAAGGAAAAGAATAAATATTGGGTGACAGAAAGGGCTTGGACAGCATGTAAACAAGAGTCATGAGCTGGGAAATGAAGGGTGTGAAAGGGTGTTTGGTTGTAAAGTCTGAGAAACATCTCTTGAGGCCTTTTGTAGTCTAAAAATATTCTAAAGGGAGTATTCTGTTATGAATAGTTTTCCACCATGGCATTAGTAACACATTCCCTGCTTGTTCTGCTACATGGTGGGTGTTTGGAACCACTCACTGTGCAAACATTTATTGTATGCACTGTCACAGCTAGTGGGGTCTGCATGGTGAGAAACCCTCAGAAGCTGAACTGAAGTTGAACAAGAACTTCAGAATGACTTGCTGTCTCTCTGCACATAATGGAAAGCCAAAGGTTGTCACTGAAGAAGAGAAAAAGGGGAGTGTGAAGTCTGGGAAAGGAGGTCAAGAGAGATTTCTCCAAAAGGATGGGCCAGGATGATCCTGTTAGACCCGTGATGCCTTGATTGTGCAGTTGTGATTTCTTCCAAAGCTCCCAGTAACTTGGAGCTGAAGGAGCAGAGCAGCACAGAGCAGTGGAAACACGGATGATTCCAGCCTGCAAAGGAAAAGGAAGCAACAGAAGGACTTGTCAGATGAAGGACCATCAGCAGATAATTAATACAGCACAAATGCTGTAATGTTAATTTTGACTACATGGAGGATCTGCATAATTTTGGATATATAGGGCAATTCTAAAATCCTTCTGTCCTTCAGGCTGTTTGGTAAGAGTTTTGTCTTCAGAAAGAATTGCTATGACACCCATTTTTCACAGAGCAAAAGCAGTTTGGTTTAGGGTAGTTCTGCTACCAATGGGAAAAAAAAAGACATCCATATTCGCTTAGTCTGTTTTAGTTACCTTGTTTTTTCAGTAACAGCCCTGAAATCTGAGATTACAATGGATAGCTAGCCAGCATAGATGAAAGAATAATGGCCCTGCACAAATTAATTTGGTACATCTCCAATGGTTTGACAGAACTCCTGGCTGAAATGTACCTGTCAGGTTCTGAGACAGTTAATGCCACAGGTGTAGCTTCCCTAAAAAATTTTTCCCTCTGATTAGAGACAAATGCAGCTTTAAGCCACTGAAATTAAAGCCTGCTATTAAAGCCTGTGAAAGGAAAAGTCTGAAGATGCAGGCTGGCTGTGCCTGGGTTTGCAGGAGCTTCATCACATGCAGTGGTGGGCTGGCAGGCTGCTGCATTCACTTTTCCATGTGCCATGGCTGGCTGTGACATGAAGTGCATTTAGCTACTGGAATTCTGGCACCCAGGTACAAAAGAGAATTCACTTGCAGTGCCCCAAAGCCTCGCGCTTGGTTGTGTAAACTCCACGTAAGCAAAATGTGTGCTTTCTCCACAAGGCCACACTGTGTCCTGGTGAAATCAAGGAATACATACATCCAGGCACAGGAGAAGGCTTGCCAGGCAGCTCTGAACACCCTGCCAGATCTCAGCTAGAGCAGCATTCATTAGCTGCGAGGCACAGGATAAAATATAAACATGGGAAAATCAGCAATCAGAAGGAAATTAAATCGTGGCTGCAAAGGAGAGAGGGCTTTGCAAGAGCAGAGAGCAAGAAATCTGAGAGATGATAAAGGTGGGAAAACACCCTCAAGTGGCAGCCTGCCTAGGAAGTTGAGTCCCTTCCTAGGAAAGAATGGTGTGGAAAGCCCTCACCACACTCACGGCACACAGGTCCTGGAAGGTTCTTGTGCAAAGGCTGCAGCTCAGACTCTGGAAACAAAGCTGGCATCGGGCATGGGAGGTGTGGAGAGTGGTGGAGACATCCAGGAAAATGCTTCCAGTTGTGTCCCAGTCACACCAGTGTGTTCCCCCAGCTCAAGCAGAGTTACCCCTCCAAGGGAGGGACTCCTGCAGCCCCTCTGTGCTCCTGGCTGGGGGGTCACTGATGCCTGTCTGTCTGTCTCTGGGACAGCTCAGATCTCAGAGTGTCACATGCTCAGCAGTGTCTCACCTGGTTCCTCCTGTTTTTATGGGGCAGAGGCACAGTTTGTAGCATCCCAAGTGCCACCAGGAGTGTAGGTGGCATGACTCAAATGTGCAGAAAATGAATTGTGGCTGGAAAGTGGCAGCAGAAGCGCCGTGTTTACAGCCCCAGGATTAGGTGGTTATTCTCCAATTCTGGAAGGTTGTTCTGCTTAATACGTTACTGTGCCAGCCCTACCCGGCTGCTGCTTCAGTTTAGTTCTGAGGTTTGGGGTTTTTCCTGACCTGCAGACTCTTGAAAGATTGTCAGTGCATAAAGCTATTCCAGTTATCCTACATTTTTCTATCCCAGTTTGGTTTAAACGGTTTGTAATGTAACTGGTGCTACACGTTTAGTTAGAAAACACAAATGCTTTTCCTTTACTGATCCAAATCTTTGAATTAGAGTTGTAAACCTTGCTAATAAACTGTTATCTCTTAAAATGCCTGAAGAACTATGAAGGACACTTAATTCTTTAATAGGAGAGTAAGAGATCAGTTCAGCAAATTGTCACTGAGATACACTGGATGTACCCCAGGAAAATTTCCACTTCTAAACAAGTAAGGATCAGCCCCTGTCCCAAGTATTCTGGATTTCATTGGGACTGGAACATGCTTGCACCACAAGTACATTACTTGTCTGGCAATATAATCAATTAAAATTAGTAATTAAGGAAAGCTTCATCTTCTGGCTCTTTTGCTATGAACTTTTGAACTTACAAACCTTAACTAATCAATTGATGTCTGGGTGCCAGGATTGATTATTCAGGGTAAGCAAAAAGCTAATCGGGGAAAAAATAGCATTAAAAATATACCAAACAGAAAACATGACTGTAAAGGAGGTGATGCTTTCCCTGATGCCAGCATTCATCAAAATCAGTAAACTGTAACTGCATTGAAAAATGCTGCTGGCACTGCTTTAAGAACTAGGCCTTTGTTACTAATTAGATGTGAAATGCTCATTGTGTGATTAAGTGGTAGTAAATAAATGTTTCTCTTGTGTATATGGATAGCAAGAGTGTCCCATTCATTCTCGATGGTAAAGGGCAGGAATGTTCCTGAGCCAGAGACCAGGACATCCCTCTCATGCAGTTCTGTGTAGAACTCAAAGCAGCTTTAATTCTTATCCAGTAAGCAGCTCATTTTAATTTGCTCGAGAGAGACTGATACAATTCCACACTATTTAATGATTTGATGATGGATAGTTAATAATGAAGTTTCCATAGAGATAAATGAGGATAATTTTTTCCGCCACAAAGTTTTAAATTCCTCGAGGTAGCAGAGATGTGCTTGTTTATAGCAGCTGATAATCTGAGCCAGGCATTTCGGTGGTGATCCACCAGAGTTGGATACAGGGAGCTCCATGTTTGTGTTTGTTCACTTACCTGCCCTCCCAGTTTGTTCTGTGGCTGTGCCACTCCTGTGAGACATGCAAGTGGAGAGCCTTCGATAAAATTGGGGTTTGTACATAATTTAGGCATGTTTTGTAGGTCCTTTGCTGCCTTCTAAGTGTTTGTGTATAGAGAAAATTCAGTTACTTGCATAACTGGCACAGTAAATGCTTTGCAGAGGTCTGAGGGTGTGTTGCACTAACTGTTGACAGTTTGCTCTATAGCTCTGTGTCAGCTTGAATTTCAGTCTGTTCCTTTTTATTGCCAGCATGACCCAAACACAGAAGCCAGTGCTGGTGTGGCCACAGCAGATGTCAGTCCTGCATCCTGTCACAGATGTGGAGCTGAGCTTTGCTGCAGTCCTGTGCAGGACTGTGCTCCATTCCTGCATTGCTGTAGCTACACTGGCCCCTTCCTCCTCTTGTGTTTATGTACTGGGTCTGCTGCAGGGAACTCAGTCAACAAAACCCATTTCAAGCCTCAAATCCCTTCTTCAATAAATACACTCTCCAAAGACAATCAAGCACCCTGTGTTAAGCGAGTGTGCAGCTTGAAATATTGCTGAAATAGCAGGCAGGGCTCTTAATTGTGTTTAAACTCCGAGTTGGAGCATTGTGCAATGTAGAATGGATTTGTGGAGCCGAATTGTCCTTGTTTCCTCAGACAGGCACTGCTGGTCTATCACAGGGTGGGCTGTCCTGGAGAGGAAAAGGGAACCCAGGCTGGAGAAGGCAGGAGAAGACATCCCCAGGCTGGGGAAGTCCAACAGCGCTCTCCCTCCCAAATCTGCGGATTACAAATACTTGCAGGAACGATACAGTGTATTTTCAGCAACTTATGAAACATTATTTGAAGGATTAAAAACTTGGATGCCGAGTGTACAAAGAATAGGAGAAGGATTCTGGGAAAGCTGTAAGACTCTTGGGTGACAGCCAGTACCAGCCTGCCAGTTGTTCCTGTCTATAATTATGCCAGCATTAGTGCTTTCATAAATCTTGGGAGAGAAGGAGCGGAGAGACTATTTCCAGGCTATTAATGCCAGGATAATTAGAAATATCGGCCAGCCTCTCCAATTAGTGCCAATAGAATCCAAAATACCAGCCAGTCTGAGTAATCTGAATACCAGTTGGTCTCTGAGTGAGTCTGGGGAATGTACAGTACCAGTTCTAGAAGAGAAATATATACAATATCAGGGTTTATACTCTTATAAAGTTAAGGATACCTTAAATGTTTGGCAGTCTTGGCAAAGTTATAACCTACCAGTCTGACAAACGAGAGTTTGCTTAGCCCATTGCTCTCAGTTCAGGCATTGTGCTATAGGTGAGATTTTCCATTATTTCTCTTTTTAGCCATTGTTTTATTGACCACATGCTTAGCAATTGATCACTTTGTTCTCTTGGGAAAAAAAGCATTCTTAAACAGAAATCCAAAATAAATGAAATGTTTTTAATTATTTATAAGCAGTGAAGTAATGAAAGAATTGAGGAAAAATAAAGGCAGCTCAACCTGTTAAAGAGTTTACATAGGGGAAAAAGTCTATTTTTAGTAGTGCTGCACTGATGAATGGATATTTTACTGAAACATAAGATTTCTAATTAGGTTTTGTATAGTCTGCATTTTAAATATATTACTGCTGGGCTGAGAAGTATGTTCTCCTGTTACTTTTGTCCTAAAGAAATTCTATCATAGAATTCTGTAACTAGGAATTCTATCATAGCACTCTATGGATAGGGATTTTAGATCTGAAAAGGTTTTCCTCATTTACAAAATGTTTTTGCTTTGGGTTTTGTGATTCTTTTCCAATTCCACTCCTTAATTTACTTGAGCTGTGCAGTAATACTACAGCTGGAGCAGGTGGGTGAAGCTGAAGGAAACTGTGTGTAAAGGAGTTCTAGAACAAGTGTAGGCTCCCACTCTATAAATAAAAGTTCTGGCTGTTTGCCAGTGTGCTAAATGTCCCTTTAGTGCCTCCACATTGTTGTGCAGTGCTGGAGATCTGGGTGGTTGTTTCTAGGCTGATAAACACATTCTGGAGATTGACTACAAGCATTTCAGGGAGTTTTTCCTTCTGTGTCACAGGAGAAGTAGAGAGTGGCAAGGGCTGGAGAATGGGCCAGTGAAAAATGCATGTCCCACTCAGGCATTTCTGAGATCTTTAGAGGTGATGCTCTGAGTGTGGAGCAGGAACAACGTGTGGCAGGGCAGAGTGAGCCCAAGGAGGCACAGCAGGTGAGGGGGGAATGCCCCTGTCAATAGTAAAATAAACATAAACAATGTGCCAAAACTAGTAAATGGCTCAGAGCTTTTCAGTAAGAAGTTGCAGAGATGGGAACGACCTTTCTGCACATGCTGGAGTCCATGGATGTGCTTTGTCAGGCTTCCATTCTGGTGTGCTTTTGGGTACTTCATCATGTAATTGTCCAATAATTTTGTATTTTCAGCTGCTTCAGTTCTGGTAGATATTCTTTATGAGGAGCTGAGCAGTCCATGCCACTTTTCCTGAAGGATTTCAAACTGACTGTTTTCCATGTGTGGCTTAGAATGAGCCCAGATATTCCCTGTTACTTTAGGGTCTCTGTCCTGCAAACAGCTCGGCTTTATTTCTGCCCCAGGGTGTACCAAGCTGGGGTGCATTGACTGATAAGGGTTTGATTTTGTTTTAAATGTGGTGGGGTTGGGGAGAAAACTTCAGTGTCCTTGTGCTGAATGGTGCTGAGGTACAACCCAGTACCTGAGAAAGAATTTGGGAGCTGCAGAAGTGTCACAAACCCTCTGGGCTGCTCGTGCTGTGTTTGCCAGGATGGATCCTTGCTCCAGGTCATGGTGATGGGAAGCTCCCATAAACCATCCTTCTGGGAAACGACTTCCCTAACAAACTTCCTACAGACGCTGTTCACTCAGCACATGCCGTGTGCTCCGGGCAGCAGGGAGGGTGCAGATCCTGGCACGCTGAATATTCCTCTGGGATGGGTAAATGTTGTCCCAGGGAACACGGGGAAGGTCACACCCAGCCTGTCCCGCTGGCTCTGGCCGTGCTGGAGCGTGGGGAGCGAGAGCCCTCTTGTGGGATAGGGAATTCCTGAAACAATCCCAGCGAGGGATGCACAGGGAGATGTTGGCTGCACCTTTCCCGTGCTTCTGTGTCCCAGCAGATTCAGAGATTGATTCCTCATAATTTTCCCACTTTTCTGTTCCTGAGTGGGATAAATTGTATTTCGAGGTGGAGCTGTAGGGCCATCTCCCAGCTACAAGATGAGAAGAGGAGGGATGTGACAGAGGCAGACTGTGCTGTCTGATTTTCAGAGCACAGCAGTGCTGCACGGCTTCCTTTATGAAAACATCCAATTCCGATATCGTTTAACAGCTCCTTTTCAAATGAGTGTGGTGTGGTTTTGTTTCATAGCAATCCGATGACAGATTTGTCTCTTTCTAGGGAAAGAGGAACAGTGGTTTCAGAGAATGTTACTTTGGGAGCCAGAAGCATTGCAAGCTGACCAAGCTGTGCCCAGCTCTGGGTTACACCTTCCGGCTGGCAGCCCAGAACGACATCGGTACGAGGTGAGGTCCTCAGGGTACACACCTTCTTGAGAAAAAGGGGTCGTTGAAAAGTTTACCTACCAATGCCAGCATAAAGAGGAATTTCTGGGGGGGGGGGGGTTGTTTCTTTTCTCTTTGTGGTTTTAAGTTCAATATCTGACATTTGCTCTGTTACTAATGCTTCAAGGTAAGCCACTCTTTTCCTTTCTGATACCCTTCATGCTTTCCTTGGTGATACCCTTCACCCCCCAGGGAATTGCTGTGTACATTCAGCATGATGAGATCAGCCTAAGCAGATAGACTCCTTTTGAGGTGTTAAATGGTGTTTTGTGGTCTATTCCTGATACAAAAAGAATATATCTGTTATGTAAAATTCCCACTAGGGACCTCTGTGAACCAAGAAAAACAAGCAAGGGGAAGTTAAGTTACAGATTTTGAAAGGAATCTTGATGTATTTATTTTTCTGGTTTAAAGCAAAGCCCTTCTGTCTCTTTTCAGCAGTACAGTCCCTTCCTTCTTCAGGACTGGCAGGGCTGGCTGATGGGGTGGGAAAGAAGGGAGAGACAGGCAGGACTGAGACAGGACAGGCACATCCAAGGCACTGAAAGATGGGGTTTAGCTTCTGCTTTTCCTTGCACACGAACTGATGCACTCACATGAAGATGGGTGAGAAATCAGACTTAGTTCAGTCCTCTGGGAGCTGCTAGGGAGCACTGGGATGAAATGTTCTGCAGCTGAGGGGTAGAGTGTGCCCAGAGAGACATTGCCCCGGGGCAGTCAGTGTGTGCTCCTGTGCTCAGGGAAGCAGAGCAGGCCAGGAAAGGTTTGACTGTGAAGAAGCCAAATATCCAGTGGCCTTGTGTACTCCTTCATTGTCCTTCTTAGCTAAACAGGATCTAATCATTATTACAAGGACACAAAAGAATCACCAGTGGTATATAACAATGTGTTTTGTGGAGAGAGACTCCTGCATTGTTCTCTCTTCTAAAACACAAGCCTCTCAGTAATTTAAGTAATTTATAGCTTTAGAAAGCTCCTTTATTCATGTTCCTATGTTTCCTCTGACATGGACCAAGACCACTCATGTGTACACAGAATCCCTTTTCTCAACTTCTTGTAAGATTAATTCCCTCCCCATTGAAATCATACTCAGTGTGGAGAGAGAGGGGGCTGAGCTGGAGCTGCTGAGTGTAATTGGAAGGGAATTGAGTCTGTGCAGATTTCCCAGTTCTGGCATCTCTTTTCTTTGCCAGATTCCAGATTTTTAAAATATCTTAGTGCCCCTCCCCCCCCTTTTTTTTTTCCTCCTTCTCCCTTTTTTCTCTCACTCAGGCTATTGAGGAAGGAGTGAGCTAAAAACTATTTATGGTCAGCTGCTCTGTGCTAATCTGTGAGATAAGCACCAGCAACACATGCCTTACTTTTATAGACAGCAGTCACAATTAAGGCATGATAATGTCATCTAACACTTCATATCATGAGATGGTTTTGGTTTGTTGTAATGCTTGTGGCCTTACCACGACGATTTTGTCTTATTTGGGTTTTAGTTATAGGTGGTTTATTTAAATATAAGTGTATTTCAACAAGTAGGTTATATTTGAGAAAGAAGATTCGGAATAAGGAGTGCCTTTTTCTGTGTGTTAAGTTCATGATGTGACTTTAAGGCACAAAATGCGTTTTGTACTTTGGAAACAGATTTGAAAATTGCAAGAATGTCACCTTCCATTGAGAGCTTGATCAGAGTTTGTAGAATTTGTATTCTGCACATCTCAGGTTCAATATCCAAAAGTTGAACACTTGAGGCTTTATTTCCTATACTTTAGTTCCCCTTTGTTAAATGAGATTTTCCTCCACAGTTGATAGTAAGTTAATCATTTTAGGCATTCAGATATTTTTTCCAGTATTATTGTGGTGAGACATTATCCTGCATTTTTTTCTATTCTTAGTTCTGGCATTTCCTAACTGGATGTTCATCTTTTCCACCTGAGAAATCTGAACTTTGTCCAAATTTNAAAAATGACTGTGTGGACACATTATCCTGCATTTTTTTCTATTCTTAGTTCTGGCATTTCCTAACTGGATGTTCATCTTTTCCACCTGAGAAATCTGAACTTTGTCCAAATTTTTTGAAAATGTGAAATATTTCTCTAAGTACATTGAAGTTTAGGTTTCTTTAGCTTTGTGCTTTTGTGGTGAGCTTTTTTTTTTGGGAGGAGGTTGTTTTGTTTGCTTTGTTTCTTTGTTTGGGGGGGGTTTGAAGGTTTGGTTATTTGTTTTTAATATTCCTCTCTCTCTGCTCTGTCTCTGAGCAGTGGGTACAGCCAGGAGGTGATTTGCTACACTGCAGGCAATATTCCTCAGACCCCTTCTGCACCACGGCTCATTCGAGCTGGAGTGACGTGGATCTCATTGCAGTGGAATAAAGTAGAAGGATGCACACCAGAGGAAGTGATTTCCTACACCCTGGAAATTCAGGAAGAAGATAATGTAAGTAAAGTGCATGACTTACACTGAGTTTTGATTTATTAATTGGAGATCACTGGGAAGAAGCACAGACTGCTGCTTTGGAGGGCCTTCCTGGAGTCCTGGGTACTTGGCAGGGTGGAGCTGTGTGATCTGCTCTGCTGCACAGCAGAATTAGGAATCCTTAGCTGAAAATCTCTGCTGTCATCTGTGATTGCTTACAAAGCCACACAGGATTCTGTGAGATACAGGGCAGCTTGTCCTTAGCCAGGTCAGTCTGCCATGTCCTCCTGGCTGCTCCTTCCTGGGCTTGTGTTCTGTCATCTGTCACTTCCAGTTCTGTAGCAGGTTAAACTGCCATGATTGGTTTTGTGCTTATTTTGCAGCAAAATTACATTATTCAGGGCAACTGCAGCATGTTTCTTCTAAACAAAAAGTATTATGGCCTTGCAGTTTAAAATCCGTAGTAGTAATAATAATTAATATTATTATATATATGTTTGTCTTTTTTATCTTTTTTAAAGTACTCAGCTATAAAGCTCCTTTGCTATAACGTGTTGTAGGTGCAGACTAGCACAGGGAACACTTTCTCAGACTCCTCAGTTATGGGAATTTGTTTGGTTTTGTATTTTTTTAGGATAGCGTGTTTCACCCAAAGTACACTGGAGAGGAGCAAGCCTGTACTGTGAAGAATCTCAGAAGAAGCACACAGTATAAATTCAGGGTAAAGTCTTTTTCCTCATGTCATTGTGTGGTGTTTTCTGTTTTGGGATTTTTCCAGGCACTACAGGGATCCTTTAGTGCTCCCTCCAAAACGGAGTCATCAAATGCAAATTTGCTTTATATTGTGAACTAATAGATTAAACTGTTAGTTGTATTTCTGCTTTTATCACACAGGAGAAACTGTTGCTCAGACTTGGGGAAACAATGACAATTCTCAGTACCATGTGGGAGGATGTTATAGAAGTGTAGCTCAGGGAGTGAGATGGTCATAGTGGGCTGCATTGCTCCCAAAAACCTGGTGCCTGGTGGCAAATCCCACCTCACTTGTACAGAATGCAGCAAACACTGTGAGGTGCCCAGCCAGCACAGGGGCCTGTGTTCCCCTGGCAGCCACAGACTGAAGCTTTTGTGTCTCATATGTCAGCGTGGCTGGTTCTGGAGATGCTGTTGAGGAGCAGGCAGTGGGGTTTATCCAGGATCAGCTGTGGTGCCACTGCCCATCCATCCCTGACTGTCCACTGCAGTGGCTCCACAAGATGTGCCAGAGTGTGGTGTCCCTCTGGACATGGCCAGAAGCTGTGTATGAGGCCAACACCTGACTTCTCTACAGGAGCAATAAAAAATAAAAAAATCAGAGTCATAGAACGCTTTGGGTCAGAAAATCACCTGATTCCAACCCTCCTGCTGTGGTCAGGGACACCTTCCACTAGACCAGGATGCTCCAAGCCCCATCCAACCTGGCCTTGAACACTTCTGTCCCTGGGGCATTCACAGCTTCTCTGGGCAGCCTGTGCCAGGACCTTACCACCCTCACAAGGAACACTCTTGTCCTACTCTGTGGGACAGAAATCCTTATGAAATTGCCTGAACTACCCAAAGAATTGGGAAGTTTCTGTGTTGTCACTCTGAGATGATGCCTTTTAGCTTAGTGCTGTAAAGGCTGCTGTGGCTGGTGAGAGAAGAGAACCCTTAGAGCTTCTTTACAGCCCTGCTTTCAAATTAAACATGGATTTTACAAAACTGCATTGATATCAGAACAAATCTGTACCCTGATATCACTGGCTACAGGCACAACTTTGATCTGAGTTTTAATTGTGTGGTTACTGATACTCTGAATTACTTTGTTGTAAATAGCAGCTAGAAATACCTCCAAAACAAAAACAGCAAAGTTATTATTATAATCCTCTTCTTTTTTTTTATGAGAAAAATACTGCAAGTTGACACAGTTATTTTTGAAAAGTGACTCTTTCTTTCAAGGGAAAACCAGAAGTGCTTTTATCTTCAACATGTCATGATCTGTTGCTGATGGAGAGAGGGGAAGAAATCACTGTGGTTTGTAAAGAAACATAATGACAATCTAATATCTGTTATTACAATCCTACACGCTTTGGGATGTGACATACCTTCCAGTTTGGTGACATTTGTGCAATTACTGAAAGAAGTGTGATGCAGAGCTGCCAGAAAAGCAGTTGCAGTGAACAAGGGCAAACTCGTTGTGGTTTTGTTTCAGCTGTTTGCTTCCAACGTGGAAGGGAAGAGTTCTCCCAGTGAAGTGTTGGTCTGCACAACCAGCCCAGACAGGCCAGGACCTCCAACCAGACCCGTGATCAAGGGGCCAATAACATCTCATGGCTTTAGTGTGAAGTGGGGTAAGCCAGCTCACATTGCTGTAGCAGAGCTTTTTGGGGCCGTAAGAAATTCAAATTAAATCACATAAATGTGTTAGAACTTAGATTTTTCATGCTCTTTCTCAGTCCAAACTGGAATGTGTTTGGGAAACTTGACAGCTTAATCTTTTTAATATTCTAAAAGCTGTGTAGAGGCTTTTGTGTGTTCAGAAGCAAAAATGTTTTGTTTTTGATTAACTCTCACTCAAGCACATCTTCAGGCTTTTCACTCTTCATTTCATGTCCCATTGCAGCTTCATTCCAGCTGCTTCCTTTATTAATGGGGCAAATCTCCACACAGCTTCTCTTTCAGTGCTTTTTCCATACATTTTGTTTTGGATCATCATTATCCAGCAGCCTTAGTTTGATTCATGCTGAAAGCTCACATCTGTCTCCCACTTCTGGTGTAGTTAATGTGGAGTTTGTGGAGAAGGAGCTGGGTCAGAAACAAGTTTGGTAAATTGTTTTGTTATCTTCCACTCCTATTCTTATCTTATTTTTTCAGATCCTCCACAGGATAATGGTGGTTCAGAAATCCTAAAGTATCTGCTGGAGATTTCTCAAGGAAGTCCAGAAGGTAAACTTCAGACAAGTTGTCTCAATTTCAAACACACTGTGGCTACTACGTGAAAGTCCTGACTCTTTATGTTATCATTGTTATTATCATTAATGCCCTAATAATGTGATTGAAACAGAGTTATGGACTTTGCAGGATCCCTGGGTGAGCTGGGGTTGGATTTTGGGAAGGTTCTGTAGTGGTTTTTTTAGGTATCCTCTTTTTAGTAGTAATGACAGAATTTTAGATTATATGGCTAAATCTAGGAATACTTCTATTTATATTTCTGTGCGCATATTTGCACACTTATACATTATATATATAATATTCATGTTTATTTTTATTTGTAAATATATGTATTTGCATGTGTGTTTGTGTTCTGTCTTCAAGTGGGAAATAATATTCACTTCTTTCTCCTAGACACTCATAAATGTGTTGTTTTCCACTTCTTTAAACTTGGATAAATATATTTTTTTTTTTAGCAAATCAGTGGGAAGTGGCCTATAGTGGCTCAGCTACAGAATACACCTGTACTCACTTGAAACCAGGCACTTTGTACAAACTCCGGGCGTGCTGTATCAGCACTGGTGGACACAGTCAGGTGGGTACTGTCTGACAATAAGGGCTATTTGATTTATATTTTTCAGAGATTTATCTGCTAATTTTGGTAAAATACTTCTGCTTTCAAAAGAAGGGAAATGTTTTCCCTGTAGCACAGCAAAACTACACTGATTGCAATTGATCTCATGCTACAAGTTGCTGAATTTTAGATTTCTGTGTGTATATAATTTTCTTTTCAGCAAGCTGCAATTTAGTGAGATTTGGTTTCCTCAAAACCAATATGTAGTTGTTTATATTTACATGTTTATCTGATGTGGCCACTTGCTTGAAAAAGTCCAGAGACTCTCATGTGCTTGACCCTATATTGACTGGAGATGCAGAAAGAGTTGGTTTGTTGTAACAATTGTCTTTCATATGGCTGAATCCTTTAAGTTTTTAAGTTCCTTTTTTCAGGCACTGACTCCTGTAATTCCTCTCTTTGATTTAAATTCCCTTCAGTACCTATACACTTATTCCTCCTGCTTTGATAAGATTTTTCTCATTTGAGATTGAGTACTTGACACTATTTTAATTTGACATTATTTTCAAACCAAGGAAAATTAAAATAGAGACCCCAGTATTGAGGATGCTAATGAAGGAACTCTATTAATTGCATTTGTACTAACATGCTTGATAGCATCTCCTCTCCTTTACTGTTCATATAAATTTCCATGAAGTGGTGGATGTAGAAGACAATTTCCTGTGCTGCTCTGGAGCTGTGGCTCAATTTGAAGGTGATGGCTGTGTCACAGGGGTGACTGAGCTGTGATCCTGTTGGGTTATGGTTGTTTCCTTTAAAGGAGCCAAGCAGCTATGAGTAGCTTTAAAGCTGTTTATTGTAAAGGCACATCAGTCTTGAGAGGCACAGTGTCACAAGCATTGAAGTCCATGCTAAAGTTTTTAGTATAGAGTTGTAATTGAAGTAAAGTCTTAATTAGAAGTAGAAGCTGCTCCTGTCAAGGTCCTGGCAGGGCTGATGTTGCTGTGGCAGCTCCTGTCTTCTTTGAGTGATGATGATGGTGGTGAGGAGAGAAGAAAAGAGAGAGAGCAGGAAGAAAAGCAAGAGCAAAAGAGCAATTCTCTCCCCAGTGTATAGATTTTTATGTACAAATTACTCAACAAGCTAAAGACACGAACTTGAACCATTGCTTCTTAACCTATTAGAATTCTAGTTTCTTAGCACACCAGGTTACATATAAACTACACATATGGTCTGTCTTGTTCTATCTAAAAAATGTCAGCAGTATTCTTACTATAGTTTTATTTTATCTAAAACTATGTTCCTGGAGCCTCTACAGAAGCTTTTTTTAACACTAGTATCTAGGACTATGTTTTTCAACTTTTACTAGAACTCACACTTCTACACTAGTATCTAAGACCTTTATTCTCTAAAACACTTAAAACATATTCTTACTTGCTTGCTTATTCTAAAACTTAAACTTCAACTTATGTGTGCGTGGCTTAATACACTTCAATCCATCCGAAGGTTTTAATTCAATCCCTGCACTCTAATTTCTCTCTGAAGGATTCAGAGAGACAAATTCCAACAATCCTGTCGGGGGGGTGACTGAGCCGTGATGCTGTCAGGGGGGTGACTGAGCCGTGATGCTGTCAGGGGGGTGACTGAGCTGTGATGCTGTCAGGGGGGTGACTGAGCCGTGATGCTGTCNCTGAGCCGTGATGCTGTCAGGGGGGTGACTGAGCCGTGATGCTGTCAGGGGGGTGACTGAGCCGTGATGCTGTCTGTGTTGTCCTGCAGTGCTCTGAGAGTTTACCTGTCCGCACGCTGAGCGTGGCGCCGGGTCCGTGCCGCCCGCCCCGGCTCCTGGGCAAGCCGAGGCACAGGGAGGTGCAGCTGCAGTGGGGTAAGCCAGTGCAGCATCCTGCTGCTCCAAACCTTTGGTTCTGCTGCTCAGCTGCTGACCTTGAGCCTTTGTTTCTACTGCTTGTGTCCTGTTCACTGGGAAGTGCACAGCAGAGTCCAGTGGAGTCTGAGCAAGTCAGAAGTGCAGCTTCTCATCAGGTGTGGTGGCTCAGTGTTGGGTTTCTGAGCTCAGCTGTGCTTTAGGTCTTACACTCTGCTCCCATGTTATTTTTGTTAGCCCTATACCTCTCAGGGCTATTAAGTATCAGCTTCATTAGAATATCTGTCTTTTTATTTCAAAAACACAGTGTGACTTTTTTTTTTTTTTATTCTGTTGCAATATTGTCTTGGCAGAAGTGTTTTGGTACTTCTAATGTGTAACTTCTTTCAAAAATTTGAGTTGGAACATATTGAGGGGTTTGGGTGGCATTTAAATCCTGATCCACAGTATAACACATGTAATCTATTGGACCCCTGTTATTTTGCAAAAATGTTGGACTACAGTCATGGCACTAAACTGTCAAAAAATTCACATTTTTCAAAATACAAGGCACATGCCAGTTTCCAACAGAGTGCTTTCTTTACAGTGATGTCTTGCAGCATCCAAGTGTTTTTATGGCATCATTTGTTAAGCCAAATTCTGGATAAGTAAAATTTCTAACTGTCTGATATATTTCAACACCAGTATAAAAATTCACCCAAATGCTTGTTGGAAGCATTTTGGTGGCTGTTGTTTTTCTGATCCCCAGGCAGTTTGATTCTGTGGTACTGGCTTGTAACGTAACATGCAGGTATTATCAAATACATCTTTTCTTGGGCAAAAATAAAGGTGCCCACAACAAAAGAGAGAGGGGTGTGTTTGTGTATAGATAGACATACACATATTTAGATAGAAATACACATTTCTGTGGTATATGAAGTTAAAAAATTGCCCTTCCTGGCACACGCCCTGATGTTACTAACACATTTACACACTTTCTTTTAGATGTCCCTCAGTCAGAGAGCGGCTGCCCTGTCTCTGAGTACAGTGTGGAGATGACAGCCCCTGAAGAAGTGGTTTCTGAGGTGTACCATGGGCCTGAGCTGGAGTGCACCGTGAGCAGCCTCCTGCCCGGGGCCACCTACAGCTTCCGTGTGCGCGCCCTGAACGACGGCGGGGTACGTGCACTGCCTGCCCTGCTGCCACTGCTGCCTGCCAGCAGGGCCGGGGGACAGGGGCAAAAATAAAACAATGTGGTAAAATGCTCGAAAGGAACTTCGGAGGAAGAGCTGCACTTCTAGACCTGGGTCTCTTTTAAAAGGAGATTTCGGGTACTGATGTGGTTTGACTGGCCCGAATCAGCTGCTCCCAAGTGTGTGAAATCCCTGCTAAAAGTCATAGCTGCTCTTCATCCTCATTCTGTTGCATTTCCTTCTTTTTGTTTTAAATCTAAAGTGTGTAAAAACACTTCAGTTTCACCCAGCTGGTATGTTTTGAGGGAAACTCACATTCCTGGTGATTTTTTTGTTTCAATTTCAAACAAATGTATGCTCTATAGATTCGATGAGATTTTTTTATTAAATTATTTCCTTGGAAGAAGTTCCTTCCTAAATACATCAGAAATTCTGTCAGATGTCCATGGAGATCTGCAGAAAGATCTTTTTCTTTTTCATTGAGGTTTGTTTTGATTATGCTTGCCTTTATGTCTTTCTAGTGGTATTACATAAAGTCCCAGCTGAACTACATGTATTGATGTGTTTCTCCCCAGGAAATCTTGATGACAAACATAACACAAAGGTTTAAAGTTGCTCACCTACGGGGAGAAATTCTGTTAAAGCTTAACTTGGATATTAGAAAAATCGGCAAGACTGTTAAACTGTTTTGTCTTAAAAATACCCACTGTTTTGTTTTTGTGAAAAATTAATTATATGCACATGGAAAGATTAAATTTGCTTGCTGGAGTGAAAGCCATTGCCTATCTGATAGCTGTGAATATATAATGCCTTGGTTTTTTGTTTTTTTTTTTTGGCAGAACAGTTGCAAAGCATTTCTGGTTCCACCCTTTGTTGAATGAGGGGGCTGGTTCTGGTCTGGGATTTTGTTCCAGATGCAAAATAGGGGAGGATGTTCTTTACCACATTCTTCCTCAAAAACAGCAGAGGTCAATAAATGACATTTTTTGACATGTACATTCTTCGTAAGACAAAGCAATCAGTGTTGGCCTTTCTTTGAGGGCAGATATTGACACATCTGATGAGAAGTTTCTTAATTTTCGTGTCATTTGGCCTTTTTGTAGTGGCTCTTTTTTTTCATGCTCACTAATATTTCATTACAAAATAAGTAAATATCAGTGGTTTTCCTCTAATTGCTTCCAAGTGAAGCTCCTTTGTTCTGGAGAACGATTTCTAATTAACTTGGGGATGTACTGAGCGAACTTCACTCTTCCACTCAGGAGGCCTCAGAAAAGCTGTTTCAGTGCTATCTCCTATCCTCACACTGCTGGCTGAAGCCGGGTTCCCAGACTGCTGAAAATTGGCTTTTTTTTTTTTTTTTTCTTTTCTAATCTGCATTTAAATTATCCTGCTGCCACGGGCTCAGAAGTTGTCTGAGCTGAGCAGAGCATCCACAGTGTGTGTGCAGCATGTCCCTGCACGTTGTGCCAGGCTGGGGCTCCAGCACATCCTGTCCTTTTACAAGTAACTTGGGGCAGGCATTTTATGTAAAAGAAGCTGGAAGTGGACTCCAATCGTGCTTTGCTCTTGCTGTGCCCCTCTTTGTATCCATGAGAAGCTGGTTATGATATGTGAGCACGCTGTGCTAAGGTAAGGCAGAGGGGCACAAACTGTTCCTCAGTTACTGTGTGCTCACTCTCACTTTTGGGCAAATTGGAGGTGGTTTCTGCTTTCACGAGCACTTGCTGCCACACAGGAGGATGCACAAAGGATGTTCGTGTTCTCTGCTTGTTCCTGAGCCCACCTCACACTTCAACTCTGAGTCATTTGTGTGGGCTCCTCCTGAGCTCTGGTGTTTGGTGCCAGCTGTTGGAAGCCTAGTGTGTCTTTGAGAAAGTTCAGCGCTCTGAAAAAGCTCATGTGCTGCTCTTGGAAAGTCCTCGAGGGCTTTGAGATGGGTGTGCACCTGTATATTAATAATAATAATAATAATAATAATAATAATAATAATAATAATAATGTTGCCTTGTTCCCCTGCAGTACGGGCCATATTCGGAGGCCACAGAGGTGACCACAGCAGCAGGACCCCCAGGCCAGTGCAGAGCACCTTCCCTGTCCTTCCTGTCTGACACACGGGTCCTGGTCAGCTGGGAGGTAAGGCAGTCCCTGCTGGTTTGATTCCACCTTGCTTACCCAAACCAGTGTGCTCACCACAGAACTCAAAAATGAGCTGGAGAGCTCTTTACTGATCTGGAGCTATCTTTATGTGCAAGGAAACCCTATATAGAAACTATTTTATTGAAGAAAATCGTCTTCTCTACTTTGCTCTGAAGAATTGTACAAAGCTGGCCATGAGTCTTGCAGAGGAGGATTCAGACACAAGGCCTCCTGCACTGGCATCAGATGATAAAGTGCTCTCTGCAAGCTTTTAGCACATCAACATGTTCTAAGTTGGAATTATGAAGACAAATATTTTGGCTGAAACTGGAGTCTCTGATGTGAAATTAACTCTCCATAAATGCTTACAATGTAGGGCTTTTTCCCCCTCAAAAATTGTTTGTCTCTTCCCTAAATATTTACTTTTATTTTGGTTCGTGTGCATTCCTCCTCTGTTCTCCAGCATCTTAGGCATTGGGCTCAAGATAAGTTTTAGCTGAAGTGCCATGGGGATGATTGATGCCATTAAAGAAAAAATGTTGTGTAATTAAGGCAGAAAAGAAAGGATACTACCATAAGTAATAGTATAAAAATAAGTAATATTGTGATGTGGTTCAGTGGGGCTGTAGTTCTGCCACAGACTTTCAGTGAAAATCTAGCAGCCATTCCAGCCCTGCTTCTGTTGGGGTCTTCCCCAAAACAGTGCCCCAGTTGAGAAAGAAGTCACTGAAATTCACAAGATGCTCAAATAAATTGTGCTAACAACATATCTAGATACAAACATAACCTGCATTCAATTTTATAACAAACAGGTATATTTGGTGCAGTTTGGGGCTATTAATATTTTTTGCAACTAGAAATTCCACTGAATTTTCAAATGTTACCTTTTAATGGGCAGGGATTAGCTCTCCCCAGCCATGAAGCAGTGGTTCTGGTAGGTTCTCTATTTATTTGAAGGGTATATTTGTTTATTCTTGCTAAAAATGGAGCTGTGGTTTGCAGTGGTTATGTTTTCTTAAAGAGTGTCATTTTTTGGCTGATATGAATAAGAAGGAAAAACAGTGAAGCACTGTGGAGTGTGGCTAGAGAGCACACTGTGGTGCCTATTATGTTGCTTTTTTTTACACATTGTTCTGAAATCTGACTTAGGAGCTCTGAATGTTCCTACTCAAACAGCTGGAAGCTCTGAGGCAGAGCCAGAGGAGCCCCTGTGCCTGTGCAGAGTTGTTGCTGTGGTGTGCAGCAAGGCTCTGGATCCTTGCACTGGAAATTACATCTTGCCTGTCAAAATCACAAAGTCCTTGTAGGCCACACTTCAGGCAGAGCAGTGCTTCCCTGAGCTGCTTTAGGCCACACGGTACAGCTCTAGGTAGTTCTGTTAAAAACACTAATTATTTTGGTTTGTGCTGTTTTGCCTGTATTGGCTCATTTCTAGCACATTCAGGCATTGAATTTGTGTTTCCCTAAATAAAGGGGTTTCTGGGGATATGTGGTAGGGGACAGGTTTAGATTAGATACTGGGAAGAAATTTTGTATTGTGAATGTGGTGGGACACTAAAACAGTTTGCCCAGAGAAGCTGCCCCATCCCTGGAAGTGTTCAAGCCAGGTTGGATGGCGCTTGGAGCAGCCTGGTCTGATGAAGGTGTCCTGCCCATGGCAGGGGGTGGAATGAGGGGATCCTGAGGATCCCTTTCAGCCCAAACTGTTTGATGATTCTGTGATCCCATGGGAATGTCACTGTGGATGTCAGTCTGCCAGGATCCACCCTCCAGGTGCCATTCTGGGTCTGATGGGTGACTTCCACAGAGAACCTCGGGCCAGCTCCTCCCTTGCTGAGGTGGTTCTTTTCTCAGCACAGGAGTGCCTGCTTCAGGCTCCAAGGCCAGTGCTTCCAGAGCTGTGTTTTGATCTCTCAGCTAGGCTGCACTAGATTGATGCTTTTTTTATGTTCTCCACCGTTGAGCTTCTGCCAAGCCAGTGGAGAGACAATTTATTCCTGAGTGTCCTGATGGAAAGCAAAGTAGCTGCGTACACTCATTTCTCTGAATTTCAATCAGGTAATTTTTGTGCAGAATTGTCCTGTTTCAGTAACCTCTTAGGGAACATTAACTCAGTACATTTCTATTTGCAGCAGTAATGGTGTATTAATTTAAAAATAAGGGTGGTTGTTGGTTTTTTTTTCCGTGTACTTTATTCCTTCCCCAGTGAAACACAGCGATCCAAAGTGCTCATTTCTGAACTGAACCACATAAATATTTGTGTTGCAGAGTCCTGAATGTTCTGGTACTGACATCTCTGAATACAGATTAGAGTGGGGAGAAGAGGAGGAATCTCTACAGCTTGCATATAGTGGCACAGAAACCTGCTTTGAAGTCGGTGACTTGTTGGCAGCAGCGCATTACTGCTGCAGGCTACAGGTATGGCAGGGCTGCACGCATTGCCCTCTGAGGTCCAAACTGACTTTCCTTCCACTGCTGCTCTTATTTTTATCATTACTCCCCTCTCAAGTCATGTGCTCTGTAAGGCAGGAGGAATGCACATTTATTTTAAGCAATGCAGACTGATGTGCTGCTTAAAAACTGTTCTTGTGTTTTGTTACTTTCGGTGACTAATGCTTGTAACAGCCACCTTGCCCTCTGACACCAAAACTAAATGGTAATGGTTTAGAAAATCTAAAAAAAAAATTATTTTCTTCATGGTTAGGAGAGATAAATAACATCTACCTCCCAACTGGATATTGAAGATTTCCCTGGCTTAAATAATGAATTCCAGCATCTGTTTATTTTATCAAGTAAGGCAAAGCAGAGTAAATTCCTGTGTGTACAGGAGATGGTACCTGCCAGAAAGTGAGTTCCCATCTTTGCCATTTTGTCTCTTAGATTTGTGGGATGAAATCTCATGTAGAGTCTCTATTTCTTTCTTTGATTTCCTATTATTTTCAGTAAAAAGTAGCAGTTAAAATATATTTTGTATATCTGTATGAAGAAAAATCAGGACTTTTCATCCTTTATGTCTACTGATAAATAAATGGAAGGTAAAGCAACTGAGGGTGAAGTAGAAATATTTTACCTAAGATCCTCTTCCACAAGATATATTTGCATGTGAAGAAAGAACACCACCACTAATCCAACCCAAATACCCACCCAGCTGGTAACATGTGGACCACCCAGGGTAATCTCTTTGATCAAGGACAACATGCTTCTGTCGAGTGTTTCCTTCTTACAGCTTTTTTTTTTTAAACAGGATATTGAATTTTTTTCATTTTTTTGGGAAGAAGGTTTGGAGGAGCTGGCCAGCAGCCCAAGAGCTCAGGCCCCACAGCTCCAAGGGCACTCAAATGTATTTTGTGTCTTGGCCAGAGCTAGTTTGTACCTTGCTCTGGCACTGTGGGGGAAGGAGAATGAGGGAATGTGTGAGTGGCTGGGAGGTGTGAGCCAAAAAGTGCCTCTTGTTTCTGCAAGAGGGAGAGCATTCAGCATCTGCTGGGCAGGGAGGAGGCTCTGAGACCACTGCTGTGGGGAGCCCAAGGAAAATTTTGTGTTAAAAATGGAAACAGCCAGCTGTATGGCATCTTTGATTTCCAGTGGGTGCTTACTTCAAACTACCTGCCACAAAAATGTTGCACAAGTCTACTCAGTTCTTAATGCAGCCAGTATAATTTAATCCATAGGCAGAACTTACAGGAAAGGCACAACAGCAAGAAGATATTTTATTGAAGTCCATCAGTGACTCAGGTATTACTGTCCAGAGAGCTTCATCCTCTGGATCTGATTCTCTCTATTATGTGGAGAAGAATTTCTTACAAGATACCCTGTAACCTTCAAACAATTACACAAAAATCTCACCACAGAGTAGATATAACAAAGAAAGAAAGTTAAATAGTATCAGAAATTTTCATTTATTTTATCTGTTACCAGCTTTAACAGGAAAATTTCCTTTTTAAAAATAAAGATTCCCCTAACCACATTTATTCAGCCTTCTAATAAAAACACAGTATTGCTATCTCAATCTACAGTAACTCAGTAAAAAAGCAATCAGGCATATCTAACTGCAGGGTAGACAATTGTCTTTACTGTTGCTCAACTTTCTTCGTGTAATGAATATTCCTGAAAACAGTAGTGGCTTCTGCAAAGGGAAATATTGTGTCATTTGGGGGTGGCAGGGGAAAGCAGCTAGGCAGCAAAGCCCCATCAGTTATGGTGATGAGATTGTCCAATAAAGCAGTTAAAAAACACCACTGACAATCAATTGCTTGGAGCAAGATACAAATGGCCAAACACTGGTTTAGAGGCAAGACAAATCATATCATTGGCAGAGCACAAAACAAGGCTCACTTCTAACAGCTCCAGGAGCACTGCGCTAAATAGAAGATTTCCCCGGAGCAGGATTTGTTTTGAAGGGCTTTTTAAAGGCTGACAAATGTAACTTTATTATCTCTTTCTTCAATTGAACAAAACGTCTCCTGGAAAAACAGAACATGGCTTTGTGTTTGCATTATGCAGAGCAGAAATAAGTTACTCACTGCAGTTAAGCATAGATTAGAAATCAAACAATTGTTTGATGTGTCCTGTCATTGCCATCAGAGTCCTGCTGGCAGCATTGTAAGCCTGGATTTTTGAATTAATTGTAACCTGATGGGAGACTCTGAGCTAACTTTTCCAAACGTAAAGGAAATGTAAAGGGTGCTGGGCAACATCAAAGCTGTTTCTGGAGGTCTGTGCCTTCTGGACTCCTGTCATTTCTCCTGTGCCATGTTCTGTAAGCTCTCCCCATGCTGTGTGTGCTGGCAGGATGCTGGGCTGTGTCAGGAGGAACCCAGCAAGCAGGTCCAGAGAAGGTGATAATGTCCATTACATGCCATTCCTGACAACCTGGAATGCTGCATCCAGTGTGGCTCCGGGCTGAAATAGGGATGTTCAGATGAGATATAAAGAAAAAAATATCACTGTGCAGGCAATTAAGGGTCTAACAGTGGTCCAGAGGGGCTGTGTAATCTACATACCTGGAATTTTTCAAGACTCAACTGGACAAAAAGCCTGATCAACCTGGTGTGCATGGTCTGACCCTGGCTAGAATAGCGAGTTGGATGAGATGAGTCCCACAGTCCCTTCCAGCCTGTGTGGTTCTGTGATTGAGTTTTTAATAATCCTCAGGAGGTACCATCAGTCATTCCCTAGGCAATTCCAGTGCAATGGGTACAGCTTTTGCCACTGGCTGAGCATCAGCTGATAAAACCCCAGGCCTCTACTACTGTGCAATGTTGGGCTTGCAAAGACAACAGCCTCTAATTAGTGAGCAGAAAGGGGCCAGGTTTTGAAACTTGGTTTCCCCTGGGATTCAGGATCTGGGACTTAGGATGAGAAGCTTGATAAATTGCTGCTCTCCTGTTTTGTGGGAGATACTGAGCAGTGTGGTTTGGTAGTGAATTATGACTTTTCCAACTTCAGTGATTCTGTGATTCTGGGGAAATGTTGAGTCATAGGCTTCATGCTGTGCTGAGGTCCTATATTCTTTTATCAGAAGCTTTTTAGCATTAAATTAGTTATCCATTTTCCAAATTAGGAACGAGGATAGTTTTTAACAAGCCAAATATCCCTTATCTTTAGGGATATTTTTGCTTGCATAAAGCATCTGTTGGGCCACCCTGTGTACTGGGGAACTTTGTCCTAGGTGGCTCAGTAATTTTGGCTATCCAGTTTACTGATGTCACCAGTCACTGGCATCATGACTATGACATTTTCCCTTACTAACCAAAGTTTGCCACTGATAAACAGGCTATTAAATACCTGTTAGGGAAAAGAGAAATATTCTCCAGTTTTTTGAGACATTCCTGAGTGACAAAGGAACTAATTCCCTAGGATAGCAGAGCTATGAGTCATGGTCTAGAGAGGAAGCCAGCAGTGCGCACCCTCTGAAGAATTCATGCAGCTCTTCCAGGCTGAACTCGATACACATGTGAAGGAGAACACTGGTAAATATTTTTTGTTTTCACACCCAGGCCATTAACCAGGCTGGAGCTGGACCCTACAGCGAGCTGGTGACCTGCAGAATCCCTGCCTCCGTGCCTGATGCCGTCTCCACCCTGTGCGTGCTGGAGGACGAGCACGTGGGTGCCTGCCAGCCCTCACCCTCTGTGTGCCTTGTTCTGAGCTGGGAAGAGCCAAGCAATAATGGGGCTGAGATCACATCCTACAACATCGACCTGGGGGAGCTCAGCATCCCCGTGGGGAACGTGACGAGTCACGTCATCGAGGGTTTGCTGCCCGAGACCTCGTACCGGTGAGTGCTGGGGACACACCACACAGCTCAGCTTCACCCTGGGGATGCTCATGGCACGGACAGTGCCCTGAAATGCAAACCTGCAACCCAAACATCCAGCCTGGGAGCACGGGAGTCTGCAGTCATTCCTCTGTGGGATGGATTGTGGTGGTTCGTGTTCAAATGTTGTTTTCTCCTGCTTTTTTTTCCTCTTTTCTCCTCTCCTTGCATTATGTCCGACCTCTCCTTTTTGAGTTGCTTTGCTAAGGTAAGGTTACACTGGTAATAATAAATTTAAAAATAAATTTTAAGAATAAGAAATAATTAAAATTTCAGTGTTACATCTCATGTTTTTTCAGCTACTTGGAAGTACTATTCCAAGGGATTAAATTGAGCTATTGATTCCTGAGTAGGGTTAGCAATTTTCACACAATGAACTTTTATTTGTATAGCTACAGCTATTTTTTCTCTCTGGTATATGGAGATTAATGAAAAGATGATCTGAATTTAAAACCAATTTATATTGCTTCAGAGTCTAAATTGATAAGTGGCATTGCCAAAATTTTATTAGTTTAATGTTCAGGCTTATATGTTTTCTCCTTAATTGCTAATTAAGAAAGAAAAATGGTTCCATGCAGGCAATGAACAACAATACAACAGAATATGTGACAAAAGAAATTCTATTTTAAGTACTGTTCTAATAAAGACTGAAATTTTATCACAGAGTTGTAAAATTAGAGATGTCGTAGACTTGCTGTAACATTTTCTTTTTTTTTTTTTTAACTTTGTATTCAAGGTTACAATCCTACAGGTCTTATAAATGATAAGTTTATAATTCAAATTTTACCCTCACCCAAGGAAAGAGAACTTGTAGCAAGGATAGAAATACATACACTAGAAGTTACTTAAAGTGAAGAGCAGACATTGCTTGCTCACAGATCATTCATATAAAGTTGAAGTTTATCTGTAGATTGGTCACACAGCTGTGGAAATGCATCATCTTTGGCCAGTCTCGTGTTCCCTGGTTTCTCCTCAAATGTTTGTTCAACCAAGACCCAAAAAAGCTGAAAATGGAACTTTGAGCAACTCACTCAAGACAGAATGTGCCATTTAAATCCTTCACCAGTCTTACTTCAGTCTCTTTTTTAGCTGGTTCTTGATTGTCTACAGTTTCCTTAAGGGAAATGTCTTCTTTGAGGCTTAAAAATGGAGAATGGAATGATTTTATTTTTTTTCTGCATTCTTATTTCCTTATTTTGTAAGAAGTACCATATTAAATTACGTAGTTTTAGTCTAGGATTAGTCCTGTCTCTGGTCCAAATGAAACAGCCAAAGCCACAAGCATTAACTGTTCTAAATATTGTTGTAAGACTAAGTTCCTACCAAAGAACCCCCACTTGAAGAGCAAAGAGCAAAGACCAGTGGATGGCTAATCAGAAGTAATAATGTAGGAAAGCTCTTTTGTTGAATAAAATCAGAGAAAGAAACCCCAAATCTTGCATCTCATTCCTCTAAGGGAAGACAAGTGACTGCAGTTGGATTGCAAATGCACCTGATCAATAGTTTGAAGTATTATTTTGCTAATCAGAAATAGATCTGTCAAAGTGTTTTGATCGTTAACTTCTTCACTGATATTTCTTCAAGCGTATCTTGACACTGTCTTTGACCAAGGAATGTCTGCCCAGATAAACAAATCCTTAAGGAACAGGATTATCAGGCTGTGTGCTAAACGTTGGTGCATTTTCTGCCCTCCCTGGCTGAATCAGAACAGTGTCTCAGAACATTACTGATCTCAGTCTCTTCATTTCTCCACTCATCAGTCTTCTTTTTGTGTCAGTTTTGTTTAACACAACTTACTCTTCTCCCTCTCAAGTGTTTATTCCATGCTGTGTTTAAAAACAGTGAACATATTTTTCCCAAACAAGCCAAGTACTAACTACTGGATTTCAGGCTCTGAACTCTTACCAAAGTTTCAGCAGAATTTGAAGTAGATCAGCAAAGGGTTTATATGTTTCAGTTGAGTTGGAATTCCACTGTCAATGTTTCTGGTTGTGGGCAAAACTGAAAGCAAATCTTGGTTGTTACGAATCCAGCAAGTCTAAGATTGGAAATTTAAGTTATTTTGGATAGGGGGTGACTGTGAAAGCCTGTCCATGTGGGTCCACCCTCTTGGAGCTGTTGGTTTGGGTCTGGCACTGCTTTGCTTCCAGCTTCTCTGTGGCAATGGCCATAACAGGAGCAGCCCAAGGGCACAGGGAGGAATTCCAGGCTCTCTGCACAGATGGGCTCCAAGCTGACAAGTTGGATGCTTTGTGTCTGAGCAGCAAATCCAACCAGCATGCCATGAGAAGGATTTCCATCCCAAAATGCATTTAAGGCAGGAGGAGCTGAAGATGCCTGTGTCACACTGTGAGTGACCATTGCAGGGCTGAGTCAGGAGGGTTCCAGCTCTCACACAGCCCAGCTCTGCTGCAGAGAGCAGATGCCTCCCCAAAGCACTGAGCAAACATCCTGGCTGCTGAGCAGCTGCAGAAATATGTCTGAGTTCTGCAGTCTCTGCTTTATTGACATAGCCACGAAGCTCTGGAAACTCAGATTATAGGGTAATGTACTTGGCCTGATTTTCTGTGAACTGATGTAACTAGGAGTGAGTTAATAAATATTCCACAATAAATAAAAATTCAACAGTCATAGAAACACCAATTTTCTGTTACACTCTGTTCCCAAGCTTCACTTAACACATTCCATAGATAATTGTGTTCTGCTGTTGAGATACCTCACTGCAAAACAACTTCCAATTTTTAAGAATGCTTCTTCTCTTCTGAAGTTACACAGTGTACAGAAATATATAGTAGCATTATTAAATTTTAATAGCAAGACCTGATTTGGTTTAGGAATAAAAATTCTATAAATATTTTTGATTTTTAAACCATATCAAGTAACAAGTCATCCAAGATGGAGGGAAAAATTCATGTGGATGCTCAAATCAGCAAAGTTTAAACAGGCTATAAAACAAAATATATTTCAGAGTGTAAAGCCAAGTCTTCTTCCAGGAGTCTTGAGTGGGGATTTTTGGGGCAGTGTGTGATTGCTGCTTATGGTGTCCAGCCTGCTGCTGATGGTGGAGGATGCTGCTTCCCCTCCCCTTTGGAAGTCCATGGCATTTTAACTCCCACAGGTTTCCACAGGCACGAGCATTGCAACTGGTGGCATTCCTCTTATGGGAACGAGGGAATCAAAGTCTTCTCATGTCAGACTCTAAAATTAATTCAAAAGTTGATTTTCCAGTTTGTTGGAATACTATACAAAGGATTTTGTGACCGATCTGAAAATAGCATCCTGTTTAGTGTGTTTATTTCCTTGGGTCAAGAATCTTTTAAGAGAGAATGGTCTGTTAAAGATCATTTTGTGGTTTCTTAATTTGCCTAGTCTGATTTATGGTTTTTCTTTCTAAATGTTTAAAAGTTGTAGTGGGAAAATGTGAGAATGAATGCAAATATTATTGGTCTAGGGTCTGCAGAATTAGGCACTATTCTTAAATACAGTCTTTACATTTTCAAAAAACTTACTGTCAAATTGTGGTTGTCAGATTGTTAAACCATCTTTCTTTCCAGGAGGATGTTTGGGGTATTTTCACTTAGAAACCATTAGTGGAAAAATTGAAAAGAATTCAGGAAGTGCTTTTACTGCAAATATTTCTACTTGTCTGTACTGCACTTTTACATGAAAATAAAGAGTTGATTTTTCCCAGTACCAGTTCTGTAAACAGTGATTAGTTTCCACTTAATTGTGGATGTTCTCTTGCCCACCCTGGCTGTGCCACCCAGCTGGAAAAGCTCACTGTCACAGGCTGGGGCAGGGACACTAAAAAGCACCTGAGCTGGAGCAGAGTGCAGTACAAGGTGCTCTCCTACCACCATCTCTCTCTCCCCTTCTCCACATGGTCCTTCCTCCCTTTTCTGTTTCCCTTTTTCCTTCTCCCCTTCTCTTTGGACTTCCCAAGGACTGGTACCCATTGAGCAGACACGACTGGGCTTCAGAGAGAGGTGACACCTGGGTTTGGGTTGCACTGCCATGTGCACAGGAAACACAAAATTAGTTGTTTGTGTGTGCCTGATGAAGCTCAGGCCCTGGGAATGATAGTGGCAATTTACAGAGCTTTGTGCTGGTGCAATCAGCAGAAAAGAGTGGCCACATCAGCCATGTTAGAGTGGAATAAATCAATTCCTGCTTTCCTGGTGTCATCACTCATTTGCAAAGATGCCTGTCTCTATTTTAAGGCTTTAGAGTTTCCATCATTCTTACTGTGCTCCAGAGTCAGAAGGGGAGTGTGTGTGTGTATATTTGTGTGTGTCAGAAGGGGGGAGCAAGATCTCTGTGCAGCAGAGGAGAGCAAGAAAAAAAAATGAATGAAGAGACACATTTTTGCCTTATGTAAATACCTGGCAAAAGCAAGACAAGTCAGGCTTCTGTGCATGCATATATCTGAAAAGTGTGATATTGGAGAGAGATGCATTTCACTGCTTGTTTTCAGGTGTGGTAGCTGCCAGTTGGAAACCAGCTGAAGTTACAGTGCTTGAGGAGAGGAGAGGCTTTGTTGTCACTGGGACTTTAAGTAATACCAAACAAAACAAAAGGGTATATACTCTAGAGTATGCTGCTGCAATCAATCTGCAAAAGCAGTAGTAGCATTTTGTTACTGTTTATGTGCACATGCTAATGGATAGCTTGCTAGAATCCAGTGAAAATACAGGCAGGCTTTGGTTTTTTTATTGGAAATACCATTAAATATTGATGTAATGACTCTTCAATCTAAAGCAAACCAGTAACATAATATGAAATAAGATCAATGCTTATATTAATTACACTTCTTCAGGTACTAGAAAAACCTTTTGTTCTTTCCATGTCAAATGAATGCAAGCAGCAGTTGAAGAGGAGGCTCCCACTAGATCTTTGTGCCATCCACCCTTAGGGAGGAAGAGGAGGAAGGTGGTCAGGATGCATTTCCTGAAGCCAGAAGGAAGGTTAAAGGGAAAATGCAGCCCCACACCAAGCAATACATTACCCCTGTTAATGGCTGGGTCAATAACCAAAGATTTTTTAAGCACATGTTTGCATATCACTGTATACACACTGCATTCTCAGTGTGCAGTGGCTCTAGTTGACTAATAGATCAGACATAATTATTTTGCAACATGTTTATTAACAATGTAACCTTTTATCTTCTTGAAAAGCAGAAAATACAATTTTGGGCGTTTTTTTCTATTGGGGAATACTCTCTGGAGAGTTTTCCATATCCCTTTTACTTACTCTTTTGTTGGTGCTAGAGCTGAAAACTTGCTGTTCAAAGCAAAGTAATTTTTCATACGTTATTTGTGTGAACTTGCATCACTTTATGTTCTTCAGTCAAAATAAGTAGCTTTGCCAAGTAAAGTCAGTTCTGGTAAGGAGTCTTTACCCATGAGAAAATGCAAGCCTGCTGTGCACAGGATTTCCAAAGTAAATGGCATCTCTCCAGCTAACTAAACTAGGCTGAATTATCTTAAGCTTAATTTGTTTTCTCCATCCTGATTTTTCATATTTAGTCTTTAACAGACTTTTGAAACCTTTCAGACTCATCTGTATCAATATTTCTATTTACACAGTCCTCAAAATTGTTTGGAAATGCAGATTTCCCAGTTTTTTTTATGGTGCTGTTGATATTACCATAGTCAGAGACTGCTACTCCTCACTCATCTCGGTGTTAGACTAAGGTGCAGACAGGTAAGAGAAAATGACCAAAGCAGAAAGCAGGAGTCATTATCTTAAAAAAGAAATAGAATTTTAGAAGACTGGCTCAGTCTTAAGAACATTTCCAAACTCAAGCTGTTGTGACCAGGCATGTGGTCTGCTTTTCTTCTTGATGTCCTCAAATGGTTCAAGGGCTTTTGTGCATCTTGTGAGAGTGACTTGGGTCCAGCAGTTATTTCATTTAATGGAGACTTCACTGGCAGTTAGCATTTCTGCAGTTCGTGGCACAGTGTAGGAGGTTTGTGGATGTAACCTTCATTAGTTCCTCCCAGCAGAGTTTTCTGTGCTTAAATAATGTGCTGTGTGAGACACTGAGAGAACACTGCTCTGAGTCTGCAGGGTGTTTGGTGGCAGTGACACCAGGGCTTTCCCTGAATGGTTTCACCCAAATTAGTCCATGATCTTTGTTAGACAACCATGACATACTTTGGTTTTTTATTTACTCGTGGTTGGGCATTTCACATTTCCCAGGCTGTGCTTGTGCTGTGCTGCTGCCCCTTGTCCCTGTGGCTGAAGGGGCTGTCACCAGGTGCTGAGACCCAAACCTTTCCCTCTGCCTTGCTTCATTTCTAACATCTTCACTGCAGCTCTTACAGTCTAAGCTGGATGATCCTGGTTTTGTTAACAGAACCTTCCAGTGTGGCACAGAAAGCCCTGGGAGCTGTGGAGGGGCACTGGGGCAGGGATGGAGCAGCCAGCCCCAGAAGGCTCCCTTGTCCCTTGGGACGTGTTTTTATCAAGAACTTCCTGAAAGCATTTCATCTAACATTCACCTTCTTGCTGTTCGTTTTAGGATCAGGATCCAGGCTGTCAATGAAATTGGAGCTGGACCTTTTAGCCACTTTATTAAAGCAAAAACCAGGCCATTACCACCCTTACCTCCACGGCTGGAGTGTGCTGCAGCAGGGCCCCAGAGCCTGAAGCTGAAGTGGGGAGACAGCAGCTCCAAGCTTCACTCTGCTGATGACATGGTCTATATCCTGCAGATAGAGGACAGAAATAAAAGGTAAGAAGATGAGTTTTTTTCTTGTGCTCATGAAAAAGAATTCTGGTTCATCATAACACAGTTGTGAATGAAGGAAGAATTCTGTTTTCCTGATTGTTTCATGCCTACCATGACATACAAAATGCTGTTTTAATAGGCATTCCATGCCTGTAGTCTGAGCAAGTTATGCAGTAAGTGATACAGAATGATAGCATCACTAAGGCTGGAAAAAAACCTCTAAATTGTTGAGTCCTACCCTTAACCTAACCCTGCCAGGTCTAACAGAAACCAATCCTGTACTGGTGAAATTTCAGCAAAACCCTCTCCTCCCTGCCAGTAATTTTAAAATCAAGTTTCATGGCCACAGTGCTTTACCTTTTGGAATATGTGAAACAAAGATACTGCACCCAGGTTGTTGTTTGTATTAATAAAGTCAAGGGTTACAAATCAGAGGTCTAGGCAAGGTAAAACTGAGCAGAACAATGTTTTTTGGGCAACGTGGTGGTCTTGGTTTTATAGCTGTAATGTTTTACAGCATTGGTAAATATGAGCTTGGCATCAGCTTGGTAGCTCCACAATAATTTTGAAATAAGGTGTGCAAGAAACAAGCAAAAAAAAATCTATGTTTATATTAAACAGACAGTGCTAAGCAAAAACTGTCTTCCCATGTGAACTTTGTATGGGAAGATTTGCTACTGTAGCTCCAAAGTTGTGATGAGATATATTCATTTAAATAAGGGAAGGAAAGAAAGACAATATGCAAGTAATGCCTAATAGTCTGAGCTCTTCAATGAATAAATATCATAGATGGTTCATTATTTACTATAAAACACTCTCAACTACTTCAATTAGCTAAAATAAGAGACTTATCGAGTAGATAATCCTTAAGAGACCTTCAGCACAGATGATAATTTGATGTAAATTAGCACAATTCCTTTAATTTAAATAGAGCTATGCTGAGTTTCTGCCAGATGAAGATCTGGCCCAAAAGCTCTAATTTTAAGTAATAAACTCACCATGAATAATGCCTTAATACCTCCCAGTATCTCAACCGTACTGATGCAGAGAGGGTACATGCTCCCCTGTATTAATCCTGAGAAGTGTCCAATGAATATAAATACCCATTTGCAAGTCTGACAGGTAAAAACAGTTCCCTCAGAGTGCAGTGATGCTTGGCAGGAGCCCATCACCTGCAGCAGCCTGGGATTCAGTCAGCTCTAAAGACACATCCAGCAGGCTGCTTTGCTTTGCTTTCATGTAGCACTGCAGGTAGGATGGTGAATAACTGTAAATTGTTTTTAACCTGTCTTTATACTCAGGAAAATAGGAAGTTTCCGTGTAAGAATAAAGTGTTACCTCGCAGCAGGCAAGGAATGGTTTTTTCTTCTTTGCTTTGACACTAAGCTTTAGCATGATCCTTTGCTTTTGCACAAGCTTTTCCCACTGCAAATGGTCTCTTATGAGCTTTTAACTGGGAGCCATTTGAACTTGATACTCTGCTGGATCTTCTTAGCTGTGAATTTGACTTAGAGTCCACATGAACTCCCAGAGATGCAGAGAAGCTCCTGCTCTGCACTGTGCTGTCTCCTTCTGCTTGAACTGATTTTTGGTGGTTGGGTTTGGAGCAATTAACCCAGACAATTCCTGAAATGAACCAGAGCTGGAATACTGGAATACAGCTCTCTGAGCATCACTGGCCTCTTCAGTGGTACAGTAAAGTGTGCACATGTGAGGGAGTAATTAAATAGAATATTTTAGCTGGAAGGGGCCTGCAGTTGTGCAGTGTGCATGGCCAGTTCAGTGCTGGCCAAGTGAAAAGGTGTTGTCAAGGGCATTGTCAAAATGCTTCAGAATCACTGACTGGGACTAGGTCTGGGACTGACCACCCCTTGAGGAAGCCATTCTCTGGTGAAAAAAACGACACAGAATAAATTATGCAGGAGGATGTTTTGGAGTATTTTATGGTTTGAAAGAATTGTAGAAGGTGCCATGGTGTCCTCTCTGTTGGGAGAAGTGATAGTACTTGATTCAGGGAAAGAGGTTGTGGTTTAAAGCATGGGTAACTGAAAAGTGACCTCTGTCCTATCCCTGGTCTTTGAGGACGTTGTTACTGTATTCCCTGAGAATCTGAAATTACTGAGAACAGCTTTATATTGAAATCCCTCAATTCAGTATCACCATTGTCCCTTCCTTGGTTTAAAACAGAGCTTACCTCTAAAATGTTTTTGAAGCATTTTCACAAGCAGAAATATAAAGATGAGTGAGTTCTTTTAAGACAAAGGAAATAGTCAGTAAGTCCCATCCTGACCCAATAGCTTTAATGGCCTTTTGGTAGAGACTCAGCCCTGGTTTTATGTAATGATAGTCAGCCAGTGCTCTCCAGTGTGTCCTGGTCATTAAGGATTGTTTTCAACTTTTCCTTTGTGTAATGAGGTGTAACAGGCCATTTGTTGGAAACCAAATGTTTCATTGATTGCAAGACCTGTGAAGCAAAATACTTGGAAATCTTCTGGCACTGATTAGTGTAAGGGCTTGAAGAGGTGTGCACATCAGAGATGTACCTGCGTTAGCTCCCATTAGCTCTTCAGGGTGTGACATTTAGGAGGATGAAATTAGCATCACTTGTCCTTTCAATTATGGGTAGCACTGAGTGGAAATGAAGAAAAATCTGTTTCTGGAAAGCTCAGTACATAGAAACGTTGGTTGACAGTAAGTGACCTTTATGTAAGGGCTATGAAATTCCTTTCTATTTTAAATAAACTATCAGTTGTGACCTCATTTTCTAATTGTGGTAATGTCAAGAAATTTATGTTAATCACATTGCACTACTTTCCAGAATTCTGTGGGTTTTTTCCTCTTTGGAACGAACGAACTTAATTAATGGTTTTTATTTTTTTTCCTGCAGTACTGGTAATTAATCTTTAGTTGTTCCCACAACTAATTACACCTCTTAGTGTCTTAAAATGTTCACAAAATCCAGTCTGAAAGGGAGAATTAGCAAGTAAATTAGTAGTGGGTCATTTATCAGTTGCTTGGTTTTATTTTAGATGACTGTGTGTTGCAGTTGAGGTAAATTGTGTGATTTTTGTGTGTGTACAGAATCACAATCAATATATACACATGTAATTACATTTTTAAGGGACAGTCATTGGTAAGGTTGACTAAGAAACATCCTAAACATATTCTTTAAAAATATAATGTAAGGATCATTGACAATTGTCCCACACTTCTGTTGTCTTCAGTTGGTGGCAGCAGGGAGTTGGTTGAACATATGAGCACATGGGTGTTTGCTCTGCTTTAACTTGAAGGCAGAATAGAAACACAGAGGGATGAGTTACTGAATGTGCTGCCCTTGCCTGATGACTTTTGCATAATCATTCCCTGGTTACTGCAAGTTTCAAGCAGTCTAATTAAAAAATTGTTTACCCTCCTGATTTGATCAAGACAATTTGCACCCATTTTAACAGCAATTACTGTTATGTATCAGTCCTACTGGCTTGTGAAATTCTATTAAAATACAAAATCAGATAAGTTAACGTATCCCTGCAAAAACCTGCAGGAAAAAATCATTTTCATATTGTGTAAAACAGTGATAAAAGGAAATTAAGCATGAGCACCAAGACAGATGGCATGCTACAATTTCCACTGCAAGCCTGGCTAGATAGAAAGTCAATGTTCAGGAAAGTTTTCAAGCTAACCTGTATTCATATTGCTCATTGTGTAGGTGAGTATTGCTATTAATAATAGTGATATTTATATTAGCAACATTCTGATTGGATACTTAGGGCTTTGCAAATGAAAAAGAAAGAGAACTGTTTCCAAGTGTAAGAGAGTTGACTTGTTTAATGCATTTTATCTATCCCTGGAAGCAGGAGTAAACCAACACTCATAGTAGGTGTGAGTTAACTATATGGGTATAATTATTTGAGCCAAAGTGAAGCCTGAGAAAACCATGCTAAATGTGTGAGATGAGGTGTTTCAGCTCTTAGGAAGCTGGCAAGACACAGAGTAAGATGCTACTCCATAAGTATATTCAAAAAAAAATCCCTGCTTTGGTAAGAAATAAAATTTTCTCCTTTATTTTGATCTGTGCACATCTGCAGGTACTTCAGACTTCCTGGGTAACTGAATATTTCAGACAGCAGATCATAAATAAGAGCAGCATCTAGACCCAGCATTGTCACTGTGATAAAAACTATTTTCTGCACATCGGTAACAACCTTACAAGAAAAAAAGAACACCTTGATTAGAGTAATGACTCTTAATATTTAATCTCTAAAGTATAATGGAGGCTTAGCTTAGTGCAGCAGGATCACACTGGCCAGTTTTCCAAGAGCACATTTTTAGGTTCCAGCTTCACTGTGCTGAAATTGGTGAAGCAGAGGCTGAGCTTGGCTCCAGCTCCAGCTCTGCCCAGGTTCCTGGGGCTGGCACAGCAGCAGCTTGGACACGATGTGCTCAGGGAGCACCATTGGAAGGCCCATAAACACTGGGCAGTGCTGCCACTCTGGGAAAGTGGCTCCAATACAGGGAACATAAATAGTGTAGGACTGCAAGAATACTGTTTTGCTACTCTGAACTGTGTTTGTTCTCCTTTGGTTTTAGCTTTAAGTTCAGTCTTATTTATATCTACTGTTGGTTGTTGACAAGGTGATGTAGCTGCCTCATCATCTACTTCTTCCTGACTATATAATTTCACATCATTGGGTGCTCTCCCTAATTTCTCCCACGTATTACATTCAAATGTTGTTAATTCCCATTTAAGCTGTGCTCAGTGTTGTCCTCCCTGCCTGTTCCTTGCCCCCAGATGTGGCTGCACACAGGAATCTTCAGTCAGGCACTTTGCTGTTTTGTCATCCATCCCTCCTGAATGTGCCCAGATGATCCTTCCAAAAAAAGCAATTTTTCTTGCTGTGGAGGAGCTTCTGCAGGCTGAAATACTTCCACTCTCAATAATTCCAGACATATGACAAGTGACTGACTGTTGTAAATATGGGTTACAAATTCAAATCCAGCAGCAGATAAAAGATAATCTAGTAGAAACGGAAATCAATTTTTGGCAGCAAGTACCTTTTCTCTAGCCTGCAAATGTGTTAGATAATTCAGGGAAGAAAACCAAACTCTTCCATCTGACTGTTACCACTTCTCTTGTTATCACTTCTCTTCCTGCCTTTTTCTGTTCTTCACTTAGTTTTGCTTTTTGAAGTATAAGGAAGAAAATGTTTCCTTCACTGGGCCCTGTTGCTACTATTATTATTCATAAAAACAAAAATAATGTTGACAGTGATGAGCATACATTATAATACACATAATATATAAAACATGTATTATAGATAAAACTTTCCAAAAGGAATCTCTCAGAAAACAGATCTTCAAGTCAAAGGGACCAGTGAATCCCACCTGTTTGGTCCACACCTCATTTTAGGACTGGAAGCCACAGTTGGGAGAGGTTGTGGGAGCACAAAACTCTTTTGGAGAACTCCTGTTATATGTCTACTTTCCCTCAGCACCGGCCTGCAAAAGGAGATCCCAAAGAATGGATTGGAAAAGTTCCCCAAAGCTGAAAAGATTGGGTCACCCTGGTACTGGTTATAGCAACAGTGAGGGATGTGGGGATGAGAGGTGCTGCAGATGTGAAAATTTTCTCATTGAGTAGAACGTTTTAAAATACAGCAGAAATGAAATAAAGAATAGTGTGTTGAATTTACTCCTGCATCTCTGAATTAGATGGTTTTGGTTTGAAGCTTTGCTTTCCTTGTTGTCACCCACAGTACAGGGAGCTGCTGGTGGGGAGAGAAAATCACATAAATCAGTGAGTGTTTGATAATGTTCTGCAACCACATCAGAGGAAAATTACAGTCTAAGAAAGTAGGTGGGGGCAGTAAATGTGTAGATAACATGATGTGGCATTAATAATATTAAAAGAGCTGTTGGTTTGTGAAATTCTTGTACTTTAGTTTCTAATTAGGCAGTTGCCTTTGTGTGCTGATGTGAAGCCTCAGGTCAGACTGGTGCTGTATTAATGATTTCTCTCCAGGCAAAATCCTGACATCTGACCACATATTTTGAGAGGCAATAACAGAATCATTCAGGTGGCTCTTTCAGCCTTTGTGCCTCCCCACAAGATTCCCATCTTACTTAGTGCTGTACAGTAGAATTTCTTTCAAATTAAATTCCTGTAAGACCCAACGGGTTACCAAAATATAAACAAAACCCAAGAGTTTGAAAGGGAACCTGCTGCTCAAAATGTGCTGGGAATTAATGAGCAGAGGTAGAGCAAGTACATTCATATTCTTCTGCTTGACTGGAAGTGACTGGAGGAAACAAAACAGCTGCAACATGCAAAATGCTTCCAGGAAGATCTTCACTGGGAATAAAAGGGTATTGATGAAAAAACTAACAGCAGTGGTGCCTCCCTAACAATTGCTGTAGGACATGATGTTCTCCCTCCTCTGCTGTGTGCAGGTAAATGAATAATCTGTGGCTGATGTGGGAGTGTCTGGGAAAGGAAAATTGGGATCACTCCATGAGATAAGGGAGAAGGAGCTTTTTGGGAGAGTGTCTCCATCCTTGGAGAAAGTTGCTTTCTTTTTGGTACCTGCTGTTAATTTAGTGGAGAGGAGAGGCAACACTGCAGCATGGAAAATCAGAGTAAAGCAGGTTTAATTGTAGATGGTGCAATCTTAAAAAAAAAAACAACAGACAGCTGTATTGAGAATGCCAGTAACCACAGAGGGTGAATGCTTTCAAAGGCAGGGTGCCAGTTGAGGTATTTAGCCTATTGTCTTTTGAATTCAACTGGGCAAATCTCTGAGATTTGAAAATGTTTTGAAGAAGGTGAGAGGGAGATAGAGCACAGGGAAGGTTTCCATACACAGATTAAGTCAACTTTTCAGTGCATAAGAGATTAAGTCCTTGCAAACAAGCTCAGAGCTGACTTGTTCTTGAGGCAGTGTATGGAATGAGGCCTGGATGAAGCACAGTGAATAATAACAAGCTTGCCAAGAAGGCAAAGGTACAGAGATCTTATGTTCAAATGTGCTTTTAAAATTAGATTTAAATTTTAGAAATGAAATTGCAATAATATGAACATGTTACCTTAGTTAAGATAATTTTTAACATAGCAATGATTGATTCAACTTTAAGTTCATTGTGGCCCTCTGGGAGAGGGAAAAAAGACTGCTCTGTAACCTATAGCCACCTACATTGATTAACTACAGTATTTTGAAGAATAGGAGAAATAATCCTGGAGAATTATGAAATGCCTACTTTACACATGAGGAAAATACTACCTTATCAAAAAATCACAAGTATTTTGAGGTTAGTCTTTCATCTTCATTATGTGTCTTACATAATGAGCTGCATCTTCAAACACAATTACAAAGCATTAGTGTCACAATAAACCCAACAGCAACTGAATTTGATTGGCTTGGCCATCAGCCTTTCTTCTTTCAAAACTGGAAGCCCTCTTTCTTCAAAATGGTCAAATCTGAGAAGTTTTAAGTGTGCTTCCATTACAGTCCTGTGGTACAAGCTTCTCTTAACAGTTGTTTCTTTCCTTACAGATGTGTTTTGAGACAGAGAAGTAGAAATGAGTGGATATGGGAACTGGATGGGAGTATTGATATTAACTGATCTGGGAGTATTAGTCCAGTTCCCAAATAACAGAAGGAGCTCAAATATTTTTTCCGGATCACTTCCTCAGTGTTAGGAGGTGTTAGTGACCTTAGTCATATCCAAAAGGTGAAAATGTCATTTTAGTCACTGGTGTTGGCCATATGAATCACTGGGAATGTACCTTAAGCCCAGCCTGGAGTGAGGGTGTGCTTGTCTGTTAGCTGGGAAGAAACATTTATCCTCCCTTGCTCATCTAACTCCACAAATGATTGCAAAGAGGTCATTAGTCTAAAATAAACTTCGGATCTTTTTTGCTCTCTGTTGCCCTTGGATCAGGATCAGAGACAAATCTCTGCATTCCTGTGAGTACTGCAGGGGTTTCTGAGCCAGCTGCCTGATTGAGCTGCAAGAAGTGCAGAGGGAGAGTATCTTGAGTCTTAATGCTGTCCCGAGTGTGTGTTCTTTGCTCATCATGTGATGAATCTCAGGAAATTCTATTCCATGAGCATGGGTTTGTGTCTGGCTTGAAACATGCTGTGGCTGCCCATGTGAGCCTCAGAAATGTGGGATAGCAGGGAGTTCTTAAACTGGGTAAACATAGTTAAGAAAACAATCTTTAGAAATTGTCTCTAATTGTCTAAAAACTTGTGGGCACAGATCTTTAGTTTGCTATCAAGGTGTGGTTCTCACTAAAACTCTGTGGGAGTAGTAGGTCACATTAGACCTCAGAGTACATTTCTAGCACTTTGAATTACCTGAATATTCCCTTTTATTGCAGATGATTCTTGATCTCTGTTTGTACTTACGTGGATTGCAATCATAATGTAATACAAATTGATTTCTGTCCCTGAGAGCTAATGACAGACCCAGTTCCTTTGAAATGCTCAAATTGGTTGTACTCTGTATCTAAAGGATGAAGCTAGCACCTAGGTAGGGAGGTCAAAGAAAAATATCTCTTGGCTTCCTGGTGATTTAAAACCTTCTGAAATGGTTGAGATACTTGAATAAGGGGACTAAAAAATCAAAAAATAGTATGTGATCCTTCACAGCAAATTTTCTGTTCTCCAAGGCCAGGACTATTGCGTGCAAGATGTTGTTCCCAGGTGGAGGCTGAGTGGATGGATGCACAGTCTGGGTGCTTCCTCTTCATTTGCTTTCATCCCACTGTGCTCAGCTCCTGGAGGTCAGGGGCTTAACCAAAAATTGCTGGCTGACTTAAAACTGTTAGTGAAAAGCATTTATCTGAGCAGAGCAATAGGAAATAGAAGTCAGATTCTCTTTAGCAGCTGTATACTTATTTTTTTTTAAGTGACATTGATTTTGTTCAGTATTACATTGTTGGACAAGCTTGTGTAAGCTCTTGCTTAGTCTTGCCAATGGAAGTGTTCTGGAAGATGACACAGGTGACTGCAAGACACAGTCTTTGTGTCTTAATGTGCAAATGAAGTGCAAAGTCATTAAAGAGTCAACATATTAATTGTGTTTTTATCATACCAGCAGCACACATGGTTATTGTAGCAGGACACAGCCTGAATCCATTTTGATTCATTCCATGGTAGTAGGGAGCCCACTGACAGATGTTCTTGCTGGTAATTCATGGAATTATTTTGCAAGGTAATAGTAGTTTCAAAAGGGACAGTGAACTTCTGCTTTCCTTGACCTCCTCCTCATCATCGGTGTGTTATTAATGTGACTTTTTTATACATGCATTTAATAGCCCTTTAGGGCATGTGGTGCCAGTTTTCACAAGATGATACTTCAAGCTGATGAGTGCAGTATCCAGAAAAGTCAGTGCCACTCCAGTGTAACTACATGCACTTGTTTTTATTGTTTCAGGTTCATCCCAATTTATAGGGGACCAAGTCACACGTACAAGATACAGAGGCTGACAGAATCCACCTGTTACTCCTTCAGAATACAGGCAGTCAATGATGCTGGGGAGGGACCTTTCTCAGAAATCTCTACCTTCTGCACAACTAAGTCAGTCCCACCTGCAATCAAAGGTATGTAGTAAGTTTTTTTTGCATGTAAGTATCATGTAAATATTTCTGTAATTGGTTAAGTATGAGGGGAGGTTGTAAGGGTTACCATAAGTAATAACACATGTGAAGAACCAGTTTGTGCTGACTCTAGGTTTCTCTTGAGTTGTGAAGTTACTTAATGGTGGGAAGTTAAATTACCACCCAAAAAAATCACACAAACTACATGAAGGTTATGTCAGCCACGGTTGTAATAAAAACCAGTTAAAATGCTGCTGCTATCAATAGTTTGCCAGAGATTACTCTGGATTACCACAGCATTTATACAAGGGATCTAACAGCTGTAGTGTGTGTGTATGTACATACCAACTTAAGCTTTAGTAAAGTTTAATGTTTTTTGTTGTGTATGTGATGTCCAATGTCAACTTTCAGGTTTTATTTTTCCTTTAATGTATAAAGTTAATTATAATATTTCACATATAGAGCATTAGACTTAGAACTCAGCATGTGTTCCACTAGGAGGAACTAAAGGCCTAATTAAATGAGGTTTTATAATGACATGTCTTTTACTATGTGTAAATTTTGTCCTAAGTAATTATGCTCCTGAGGAGGAGGAGGAAGGAAGGAGCAAAAATAAAAACCACAGTGAAAGATGTTTAATTATAAAACTTCATGTAATTAAGCCTTTTGTTCTAGGCCTAATTAGTCCTTCTTTGGCCTCTTACAAAGGCAGAGGGTTTGCTCTATGGGCTGTCAGATCAGCTGAGCTGAAATCAAATGCACCTTCTCTCCTGAAAAGAAAGAAGTCTTCCCTGTCAAGCCCTGTCATTTTCTGAGACAGCAACTGTCGGTTTGTCAGAGAGGTTTTGTTTGCTTCTCCGTATTTAAAATCTGGTTTTGGAGATTTTGACACCCTTTGTAACCAAATATTTAGAGAGGGGAAAACACTCTCTGGGGGTGCCTTTCCTTGCTAGGTCAGCTGCCCTGAGCCACTCCCAGGGAGAACAACATTTTCCAGCAAAACATACCTGTGTGATAGAGGGTAAGGATACTGATCCAGGGGTGAGTTATCCTGATCCACCTTTGCACAGGTGGGAGATGTTCTGCCTGTCCAAGGGAAGGGAACTCACATGGCACCACCCAGGATGCCAGCATGCACTGTAGTCACACTTGATTTTGTTGGCTAAAAACCCATTTTATTCAGCTCACCTCACCTAGGTTTTTATTTTGAACTCCCAGTCTGCCTGTTGAGTCCCTGTTAAATGTGACTCATCCTCTGGGCTGAGAATCAAGCTGAGTATCAATGGTGTGGTGCAAATAGCAGGTCGTGTGTGGGCTGGGACCTCGGGTACCTGGCAGAGCACTGGCTGTGACAGAGAAAAGGGCACGACAAAACTGTGCTAATGAACACTGCTGAGGGGGAGTGATGCCATGGGGAGTAGTGGTCTGATGCAAAATGATGATAGTGTTGATTCCCTTCTTTGCTCGTGGAAATACAAAGGAATTTACATGATAAACTTAGTTTGGTTTTTTGTCTATCAGAATAAAGCGTTTGTTCTCCTATAAGGTCTCCTAATCACTCTCTTAGTGATGCTAGCCCTAGAATAGCTTTGTTGTTAATGGCAGTGTTTTGTAAGTGTCAGACAAAAATCTACATGTATTGAAGTGAGAGATGGAAGGAGAAAGAAAAATAATTGAGATTGTCGTTGTCAGCTAAGATTAAGGCATCTATTATCAGTCTCTCAACACTAGCAGATGTGCAGAGAGAAGTAAATGGATATTGATTACATTTGGGCCTTCATGATTCATGTGTTCCTCTTGGGAAGTAACAAATCAGTCTAAAATTCGTGTAATGTATGCAGCAGCATTTGTTTCTTTGGTAGACCCTCCTGTTGTCTGTTTTTGTAGGGCTGGGGATCTGGATTGCCTTTAACAAGCTCATGTCCTTGCACGTGCACGTGTAACCACCTGATACAATTGTTCAGCACTCTTGTTTCTCCCAGTTTCCTTCTCTTTTTTGGTATTGTGCCTGCTGGCTCTGCCTGATCAAGAGGTTGGTGGACCCTGGATGCTGTTGCAGTTTGTTTTCATGCCTTCCGGTGGCAGATGCTTTGTTGTACAGAACAATGTGCTGCCTGTCTGTGCTGTGCTAGGCTCACCTGTGAGCTTGCTGTGGGTCAAGGCACAGCATCCCTTGGCTTTCAGCTGGTGAGAGAGCCTCTGCCAAGGACAGCAGCCTTGTAACAGCTGACAAATTGAATTTCTCTGGAGTTCTAGTGAGAGCACTACTCTAAGTCTGGCTAGAAATAGCAGGTCTGATCGAGTGGGTGTCAGGCTCAGAGTTATATTCAAGTCCAAGTCTTGAAAATTACACTTGTCCTTTTGCTCCCCAGGCTGAACTTCTTCTCTAGTACAGAAGATTGTTTAGCTTCTCATGTTCCTTCTCCTATTTTTCCTGAATGAAATGTTTGATATTATTCCTCTCTTTCAATGGCATGTAGCATGGGAGGGATGTGCAGGCATCTCCACTGGCACAGGTGTTTGCTCAGAACTTCACACAATTGCTGCTTTTATGAGTGCCTGTGTAATTTGTGCATTGGCTTCAGCTTTGAAAAGATCAGTGCACAGCACTGCAATTAAGTTTTGGAAGTTTTCTCTAAATCCACTCCTCCTTTGTAGCAGCTCACAGAGCTGACAGGTAAGAGGTGCTGTACCCTTATAAAAATGTTCTGATATATATTACAGTGCTCATAAAATAAGATTTTGGTGCAGTCTTTATATTAAACATGAACACATGTCATTTTATTGTAGCCCCTCGAGTGACACAGCTGGGAGGAAACTCCTGTGAAGTTACCTGGGAAATGGTCCCACCCATGAAGGGAGATCCTGTTGGTTATGTTCTGCAGGTACTGGTTGGAAGAGAATCTGAATACAAGCAGGTAGGGAAATGGTCTGGATTTAATATTGTTAAATTGATGGCATAATGGAAATGGTTTTGAAAGTCCACTGTGCTGCTTCTTTCTACTGTATTGAATTAGACCCTATGGTGATGTGTCAGGTGCACTTTGGTAAAGGCTGAGTCAAAATTAACGGCTGTAATGGGCTGTTTTCTCCCCTAAGGGAGTATATAGAACACCATTATTTTATTGGAGTGATTTGTGTTCTTTCTGTGGTTAATCACTGTTTTTAACCGTACTAACCTTTAAAAAGTTACAATTTTGTCCATGCTTGCTTCTGAGCTGGTTGCTCTTAACCATTATCTGGAGATGAGATGAAGTCAGAAGATGAATCTTTCCAAGCCAATTCCAAGACTGTCCATCAAGGTTTTCAGTCAAGTACACGATAAGTGGTTTGTTCATCTGTCTCATTCCTGTCTGAGGTTTGGATGCACGTGTAACTGCTGTGTATCCTTTCTGTCACTGTGGAAGCAAAGGCAGTGAAGTACAGCTGATCCTTCTTTCCTTGTCTGTCTGGATTAGACATCACAAGTGGACACTTGCCCAGAGCACCTGACACAGAACAGCTCGTTCACAGTTAGATCTTTTATTTCATCTGTCACACCTCTGGCTGTGTGATTTTCTGTGCACCTCATCTGTGTGCTCTCTTTTTCCTCTGCTTTCTTTTGTTGTCATGTGGAGTCCAGATAAATTCAAATTAGGGAAATGAGATATGCTAAGCTAATTGAACTCTTATGCTGTGCTAATTAAACTCTTTAAAATATGTGTAAGGTAGTGCTTTCTTTGCAATTCTGTCTTTGTTCCTCTTCAGACTGTTTTTGACTGCTACTGTGAACTAATGAATTATCAAAAATAACATGAAAAATGCAAGACAATCCAAGGGGGCAATAAGATTCAGAAACCTAATGATTGTTTTTGTCAGGAAATGATCTTTGGCGCTGGTGTAGGTAATGAAGCCCCTGTGTGCTCTGCTGGCCTCATAATGTCAGTGGCAAGTGGATAAGTGGAGCTGTTTTGCAGTTGCCTGATGTACAGAGTAGCTTTGGTGTGTTCCCTTCAGGTAGAGCTTCAGTTAAAGTAGCCCCAGTGTTTGAAATGTTCTGGTGTCCTTTGGGAGAGCTGGGCACAGCTTCATGTTCCTGGGGCAGAAGTGATGGCTTCATCTGCACAGTCCAGAACTTGTGGTGGGAAAAAACAGCAGTGAAGGAAGTAAAAAATACTTTCAGGGTCTGCTTATGTTGAAGGTCTGCATTTCTCATGAGGCACAAGCCTGACGAGGGGTTTTTGTGTGAGTTGTCACCGGTAACTCCCTGGAAGAAGCTCCTGGCTGGGATGCTCCAAGTGCCACTGGGACTTGTGTGGTTGTGCTGGCTGGTAACCATGGCAAAGAGGGACACTTCCCCTTCACAGTAATCCCCTTTGCCCATCAAGGTGTTTTTTCCTCCATCAGGAATGTGGGTGGTGTCCCAGCACAGGGGCATGTCCCTGCCCATGAGCTGCAGCTCTGAGCTCCTGTAATGTGCACAGAAGATAAAATACAGAAACACCTTTCAGTGATTTTCTGGCTAATACATTTCACCTGTGCTTTGACATGCCTGTGATCACCTGCTGCTATTTAACTGAAAAGTGCTGTCATCAATATGTTCATTAATGTTAGTGATATGTTAATTGCCTTTGAAGTACAAGTCCTAAATGTCTTTTTAAATATGTTTTGTTCCCTGCAAGTGACATACATATTTTGCATATGTATCTAAAGGGGTATGTTACACTGGAAACATTTTGCAAATTGTTTTGAAGGATGGCACAAATGAAATTCACTACATTTTCAGGCTATTCATGGAATGCAGCATCAGCCACTGATGTGTTTCTGGGTGAAGCTGTCGTTTCTCTGTAGATTGTCACACCTGAGCTGTCACCCTCCCCTGCACTCCAGTGTTTGCAGCCCTCCACAGCCTAAAAGCTGCTGATTTTCCACCATTTGATCTAGCAGAGGTGATAGCCAAATTACTCAAAAGCCCTTTTTTTTCAGACTGGAACTACAGCCATCCCTGCCATCCTATGGGAGAATATTTTGGAAATATTTCTCTGCTGAGAATTGTCTGCATAACTGGATTTTCTGGAGCTAAACAAATAACATTTTAGCTCCCTGGAAAGTGTATTTTAAGAAATGCTAACTAGTCCTTTCCTTGTTTCTCACACAATATGTTCCTTTTTATGTATTGGTATGCTTTATCTTTACAGATAATTTTTAAAAAGCAATGGCATAGGACAGTTCTTTTTAGGAAATCAAATCTTCCTTGTTTATGAATCAGGATGTAAGCCACAGGAAATTCCAGGAATCGGTGGCCTGGATTTGTTTTTCTGTTTCTTGTACTTCTGTCTAGCACAGCTTACTCAGTCAGAAATTAGTTCCAAAGTGTATTAAATTGTCTGTGCTTGCATAGCTTTAATATGGATTTAGGGGAGTGGGCTGGGCTGCAGGAGCTGCAGTTTGGGATAACAGGTTTGGTTTCCCAGTTGAGCAGCTCTGGGGATGGAATCACCCAGGAGCCAGGTCCTCCTAAGAGCTGACCATGGAAAGTGAGAATTGAGCTTTTTAAAGCTTCTTAATCCTTAAATTGTTTGCCACTGAAGCAAAATGTTCTACCTTTGAAATTTCCAAGAATTTGGAGGCAGCAGTGTTCCATCAGCTTCTGCCACATCTCTTCTGGGAAAAAAAACTGTCTCCAAATGCTTTCCAAAAGAAGAAAAAGTATGGGCAGGATACACTGGGTGTGTGAAAATCCCCCAGCAGTTCTCAGGTCTGCACTGAGAGGTGAATGTCAGGGAGAACTCAGTTGGCCTTACCAAGCTCTCACTTTAATTATTGTTTTTCATTTGGGTTAGATTCTGTAGACACACAATATCTGAAATGCTTTAGTGAACTGATAATTTCTGTAAAGCTCTAGCCAGCCAAAAATTGGGTTTCTTTCTCTATTTTCAATAAATCAGAGGCACTTTTGCTGGTTGTGTGCCAGAAGATGACAGAATTGCACAGGACCTGTTGGCATTTAGTGCCACTTGCATTGAGTATTCCCTCCCTCTGCCTCCTGCTGCCAATTTTGTGTCATGAGATGGAGCAAATAATTTCCTTTGGTTGGGGCTTTTCAGTGCAAACCACCTGAAGGCAGGTTCTCTGAGGGATGTTCTCTGCTCAGGAGACAGGGCTGTCACACAACTCTGAGGGGTTTCTGAGTATCTCAGCAGTGGAGTGAGTGAAGCTGATGTTGAGTTCAGATGAAATTATAATCCAGTTTCTTAAAAATAAATATATCAGGTGATTTAGAAGAAATCAAACTCTTAAAGTGGATGTGTTTTTGGCATAGATGGAAACCCATCCCTGGCAGTGTCCAAGGCCAGGTTGGACAGGGCTTGGAGCAGCCTGGTCTGCTGGAAGATGGTTGGAACTGAGTGATTTTTAAGCTCCTTTTCAACCCATTCTATGATTTTGTCTTTTTATCAGCACACAAAATAGGCTTTTATTAATTATTACAGACATTGGCCATTGCATCAGGGTGCAACAACCAGGTGAGGTTACCCTGCACTTTCCATTTGTTGCTTTTAGGGCAATTATGGCTGTCATTGTTACTGTTCAGGAAGAAGGGAGAAAGGGCTGGAATTATTTAATGAGATCAGTGAAATTGAGAAATCCTTGCCTGCAGGAATTCTCTGTCTCTCTAACTCCATCAGTAGGATCAAATACCATAAGAGGCTTCAGCAACAGTTTATTACTTGTGATGATATTTTCACTGAGGGAGCCAGGCATCATCACATTTTTATTATATTCTCAAGTGTCCAAACCAAAAAGCTGTTTTTGGGAACTGAAAGTGATAAATTGGATTGGCATTTCACTTTGGCTTGTTGGCCACCAAAGCATAATGTGCTACATACAAAATACTATTGCTGCTTCATAGGGTTATATTTGATTTCATATTTGTTCAGCAGATTTAAACACCTTATTCATAGTTGTCAAGGGCTTTTTTTCTGTTGTATGTGTATAGTCCACTCACAGAGTGTAACTGTTCACAGCCAAATGTGTTTGTGCTGGGGGCATCCTGCCATAGCTCTGAGGTGCTGCTGCAGCCCCTGGCAGAGAGAACAATTTAATAATTGTTTACCTGTTACTGGTAGATAGGTCCACTGCTGGTAAATGCTCCTCAAACCACTGAAAGCAGGACAATTTCCATAACTGTCTGAGTGCTACTGCAGGAGATGTTTTGTCTTTATCATTGGTGAATATTAATTCACATAATTTATCTATTTTCAACAATTTTTCAAACTTCCCTTACAGATGCACTCTTCTCTCAATGGCTGTCTGGTCTTTTTCTGGGAAGTGCTGTTGAATAGCTGGCTTGAGTGAACTCAGCCATCTGTACTTGTTAGACTCTAATGAAGACAGAGGTCTTTGATTTAGCCAAATTTGTCCTCCAGTTACACTGGTATTCACCACCCTGACAGAACAAAACAAGTAAAAAACACAGGGGTTTTTTTTGTTTTACTAGGCAGGATTTTTTTCAGTGCAAAGACAGGTTGTATATGTGCAGTCCCTCGTATCTCTTAAATTTAATTTATGAAGTTTAGATTGTAAATTTTTTGATTTAAATGTCCTTATTGGATTTTATTGGATTTTTTTTATTTTGGTTCAGAAGTGGTCCTATTGGTTGCAAAGGTTTATTTGTGGCAAAGGCATATAGAGCTTTTCTGGCCATATATTTTGAAATGAAATCATTAATTACAGCAGCACCAGAAAGCAAATCTTGCTGACAGCTGCTTTGTGAGAGCTTTGAGTTGCCCTGACTCAGAATCTAAAGAAATGGGAGTTAGGTGGAAGAATCCTGACTCTGTCCTTTGAGCCAGCACAGAACACGGTGGCAGAGGTGTTCTTGGGATGAGGGCTGCTCTGCAAACAGATGTTTCAACCCTCACATCACTCTCTGGGCTGTTACAGCACTTGCAGTTTTATTTTCCCTGCAGTTACTGTAACCCAGTGGCATTCCTCATTGGCATTGGGAAGGCAAACAAAGAGGAAAGGCAACCGTGCATGGCTGTGGCCAGTCACAGGGATTTATGGGATGATTTTGTTGTAGTCCTGTCACTAGAGGGAACTTCCTGCAAATGCTGAGCAGTACTTGAGCAAGGCAACATTTATTTAAATGTTGTTTCTTATCTGTGCCTCGGGTTCAAGAAACATTTAGAGGACTTGTGCTTAGTCTGGAAACCCAGACTCACCATCATTCAAACCGCATTTGGAAGAGCTGTGACAGCTGAAAAGGGAGAAGACAAATGAAAGAAGCACCTTAATCTTTTTGTCACAGACCTTCTCCAAAAATCAGCAAGCGATTGTTTAACCAAAGGATGAGTCTCAGGGAGAAGCAGGGCAGGAAAGCTGGGAAGCTGAGCTCTTTAAGTGCTCTTTAGCTGAGCAGATTTCTTCCCTTTATTCCTCGTTTCTTACTCCAGAGTAACACACAGGAAATCCTCTATGGGCTTGGGACTAGTTTCCCACTTGCTTCCCTTTTCTAAGATGAGTTCTTTCCTCTGGGAGGACAGAGATGCTCTCAACCTTCTGCACGCACAGCAAAGAGAAGGGAAATGGCAAATGAGCAGAGGAAGAAGCAGCTGAAGTTCAGGATGTTTTTTCCCCAGCAGACACAGGCGCTCTGTGACAATTCTTCATTTTGTAAAATACCAGTCTCAACAACCATTCATTATATAAACTATTTGTTTTCAGAGTTTGTGAATGTTTCCAGTGGGGGTTTTTTTTCCATTTAAGTGACAAAATTGTCTCAGATACTCAGTTTTTTCTCTCTTTTCTGATACTTTGACTTCTGCTCTGAGTCATGTGGTACCTACATTTGATTAACATTGATATGTGATGGGTTTGGATTAGTAAATAACCAAATATAATGCAATCAAGAGGAAATTTTCTGTACCTTAATAATATTTTATTATTTCCACAGTTTTGAAAGTGCAATTTCTGGCAAGATTTCTGTTTCTTGAGAGAAATGTGAGGGGAAAAATACATTAAAATTACATTTGTAAGCAATTTTACAACTACACATGGAATGACTTCCAATAACATCGTTTGCAGATTTTCTTCCTTTTGGGGCCAGACAGGGCAATTATGTCCTAGACATGTTTTGGGCATACAGTCACACTTTAAGAGTGCAGAAATATGTTTGTAGCATTTACCATGCCCACAAAAGATTAGTGTGTGTTGCCATTGCTGCAGTGACTGATGTGTTGTCTGTCTCTGTGTGTTGGGACTTGTTGAGTTGTTCTCCACTTCCCTCTGTTTTTCCAAAACCTGCTTTGACCCAGTGAGCTCCTTCCTTTGAGAAGCATTTTCTTAGAGACTTGGCTTGATGCCTGGAGAGGTGACCTAGAACAGAGTCTAGACAGAGAATAAAGTGGGTGTTTATTAAAGGCCTTCGAAGGATACACCTTGGGCAGTGCAAAAGCCTTGGAGAGGATGAAAGGACAAGGGTCACGAGTTTCTCAGGCAGATATAAGTTTGATCTGTTTGCATATCAGGAGTTAATTGTCCAAATACAGCTTCAGGTAATGAAGTCAGATTGCCCCAGTTTACTCCCCACAATTCATTTTTGTTGATACTTTTTGAGGCTGCACTGATGACCTGGAAGGATTGTTGTGTCTGACCAAAATGTGGAGAGAGCTTACTAACACTCTGTGTGGAGTTCAGAGTGGCACACTAACGCAGACCTGAAAAACACAAAACCTAAAATCTCACGGCGTCGGGCTGAGCCGAAACCCCCGCCAAGCCTCGCGTCGCGGCGCCGCGAAACCGATGGGGGACGTCGCGACTGACCGGGGCTCCCTGCTTTGTTTCCACAGGTGTACAAGGGAGAAGAAACCACATTCCACATCTCAGGCCTTCAGGTGAACACAGACTATCGTTTCCGCGTGTGCGCGTGCCGCCGGTGCGGGGACACGTGCCAGGAGCTCAGCGGCCCCTTCAGCCCCTCGGCGGCGTTCGCGCTGCGGCGCGGGGCCCTGGCGCTGCCGGAGCCCGGCGCTGCCAACGACGCCAAGGCCAAGCCCATGGTGCCCACGGATGAACAGTTCGCTGCCCTCATCGTGCTCGGCTTCGCCAGCCTCTCCATCGTCTTCGCCTGCATACTGCAGTACTTCTTCATGAAGTAGGCGGTTCAAGCTCCAGATACAGGTTTAACTAATGCTACGCATTATAATCCACACATTTATTCAGATATTCCTCCTCCTTCTTCCCCCACCCTCCCACCTCCCTTTTTTTTTTTTTTTTTTTTTAAATCCTTCGTTCTACCGTGCGTTTTATATACCGCTCTTGTTTTTTTACAGTTCTAGCTTGAAGAAAGATAAATCAGTGTTTTGATGCACCTTTTTGAAATTCAGAACTAGGAAGTGGTCAAACTGGAGAAACAAGCAAACCAGATACCAAAAGCAAGATTTCTTTGTTTTTCCTTCGCGATGTCAAAATTGTCACCGATTTGCCTTTTCAATGTTGTTTTGGGTTTTTTCACTGAAGTTCATGCAGTCTCTTATTTTATCTTACTATTTAGGAAATTTTAATCATGAGTCACTTTTTTTGTCTCTTCATGTTCCTTCTAAACATTACTCACAAAGTGTGTATAGTGGTAAGACTAGAATACAGTGTTAGTCAAGTACCAGTTTTTCCTTGAACAGTATTAGCAATGTTGCCTACAAATTATTCACTACATTTGCCCCAATTTTTCGAGATAAAACCTAAGTTGTTACTTTAACTGTTTAGTGCATTTAAATTGGAACGGCATCCTGCAGTTGAAAAACTTTTATTAGTTGCCTGTTATTTTTACAAACACTATAAACTGCCTGTATAAGAAATCAAATAACCAAACTGCATATCAATTACGAAGCATTATAGATCTTTTTTTTTACCATTTTGATTCCTAGCAGTAATTTTAAGTAAGAGGGCATTGTGCAATAGTTAGTTATTCCCATGTTCAGCTATTTAAAAGCTGCTTTAACTTGTCTGTTTGTCACTGTATATAACTATTCCTAATCCTATACTAGATATTATTCTATTACATTCAGCCTGATTTATATGATTCGAGCTGGTGACAGCTTACTGCCTCTACTGAATTAGGTGAGATTTACACTCAATGGAAGCAAACTTTACTGTCAGTTGATCTTTTTTATTATTAATATTATTATTATATTTTGGAGAGGTATCTATTTTATGGAACTTTCTTGGAGGTGTCAGAAATCACATCTGTTCCTTTTAAATACCTTAAAAGGGTGTCTATGCTGTTCTTACCACGGGGCTGACTGAAATAACTTGGTACCTGGCAAAACTGAGAGGAGAGTCCTGCAGAGGAATGGTCCCTGCTCTGGTGGCAGTGTCCCCCTCCTGCCTGCCCCCTTCCCAGACACATTTTAATCCATCAAGACACTAGATTTTTAACTCTTGAGTCATGGGGTTATTTATATTAAGTCAACATTGTACGAGTACCTCAGGGACATAAATGAGCTGGAGGTGCAAATAGATTCCAAAAGGGTGCAACAGACACAGTGTATTTCCCTGCCTCTTTGTTTTTGTATATTTTTGCTACTTGATTTTGCTTTTGTCCTAGCTTTTTTGTGCTCTGTCTCCATCGTCTAAGATTCAGTGTCCTGTACTAGCATAATATTCCCTTAACCAAAGTAATGGGGAAAAAAACATTATTTTTGTTTTTAGGTTTATTTATACTATATACTGCATACAGTACTTTAAATACCAATTACAGTGCAATCTTTTTATTTATTGTAAAAAAATAAAAAATAAAAAGTGTACTTATGTACTAATCTAATCCCCCTCTCCACTCTCCCTATAGCATGTTACATTTTGTCTGTTTTATACTGTTGTACTTTAGGTCAACTTTTTACCTGGCAGCATTCCTAGTATTATTAATCTTCTTGCATTTTCTTGTGTTTTTTGAAGATGGGAGCATCTAGTACATTAAATGCCAAAAAAACCCATTATCAGTGATTCAAACGTTTACATGTATCCAAAAACAAAATCATCTCTGGAAAGAAAGTGCTAAGATCAATGAATTATTCTGTGTGCCTCTCTAGATGTAGCAAATATTAGAAATGTTCTGTATTTTGTTATTGACTATAATTAGTTTGATTTAGCCTTGCGAACTAATGGCATTGAGCTAAATATATATATTTTTTTGTTTTTTGCCAAAGTCATGGCTTGTCAAATTTATTTACATCTTATTTAAATTTATTTGTGATATGAAACTCTGTGACCTTGCATCTGTATTTTGTGAGCAAAGAGTATACAGCTGTTTTCATTGGAGGGGAGAAGAGTGTATTTTTTAAAACAATGGAAAGACCGCTAGTTTGGAAAAACCCAGAAATTTGAATAGATTCCCTTGTTTTATTTTTGGTATATTGTTTGAGCAGTGCTGCTATGAAATCCGAGCTTGACACCTTTTTCTAAGAAAAAAAATAACAAAACTGCTTTAATAAAGAAAGGAAAAAACCCAACGTGCTCTAGATTAGCAATTTTGAAAGTTGGAAATACGAGTGCTACTAAAGGCAGTGAGCAGAAGTGGAGGGGAGAGCAATCAGTCACACCCAGAGCATCTCTGGCACTGCTGATTTTTGGGTCCCTTGGAGCCACGCTAACCAGAGCCCCCAGTCCAGGGCTAGGTTCTGGGAGATGGTGCTGGAGCAGCTGGGACGGGCACAGTGAATTTGACATTTTCAGTCTGTATCTCCTGCCACAGTGATCTGATTGTCACTGGTGTGTCAGTGACAAAGATCTCTGATGTCACACCCCTCTGTTCTGAGGGACCTTGTCCCTGACCCACTACTGCTGATGCCTTGGCCCTTCCCAAACCTCCTGGTGCCCCTGGTCCAGCAGTGGCAGGTGTTGGATCCAACCCCAGGGCGCTCTGCTCTCGCAGAAATCACCACCAACAACAAAGGTAGAATGAAACACTAAGTATTTAATACCCTTAAGGAAGGAGAGAGATGTTTTTATATTGTTCTGCCTTTTTCTTTATGAACTTGAAGTGTTTTCTAATCCTGTTTGTTGGCTCCAGTAGCTCAGTATTCAGTGTCACGATTGAGAAGTGCCCTAATTGAATGTGTATGAACCTTATCCTTGCACAGTTCTTTAAATTGAAAAAGAAAAATAAAATGTTTTTACCTCACTATGGGAACATACATTCCAAGCTTTTCAACTTTAAAAAAAAATAATCAGAAGTTTTCTTGTATTGTAAATTTTAGACTATTTCATATGCATTATATTAAAACTGCCATATCAATTTTAATGTATAGATTTTGCAAATACTACACTATGTATGTAAGACTTAACTGTATCTGTAGTGTATATGTAATATATTTATGCCCAATAAATGTTTTAATTCTTTCTGTTTTAATCCTTTATTTTAATTGAACACAGCCCTTTGGGTCCATGTGTCCCCTTCTGGCAGGTCAGTGCTGTTGTGCATCCTGGAGCAAGGGTGGGAGCCCTGAATTTACCTCAGGATGTTTCTGGTTTGTAATTGGAGTGATTTCTGTGGTTTTGTGAAGAGTAAGTTTATAGTGATAATCTGAGAGTCAGGTGTTTTAATCACTTCTTTTAAATAGTTTGCTTGAAAAATTAAGGATTTATATTTATAGAAACATATCTAGGTTTGTTCTCTTTTAGTAATTAAACACTTGAAATACTCAAGCTTTTAACTTACTAATTATGTGCAATGAATTCAATTCCTCATCATGATGAATTAATCTAGTATGTATACATGTTTACTGTCAAACACATTTATGTTAATTTTTTTAATGCTTTTCTTCAAGTCACTGCATAAATACAACAATTGATTTGTTTGCTTTTTTTAATTACTGCAGTTTCCAACATGAGTGGTGTTTTCCTAGGGGAATACAGTAACTTTTTTCACTTGATTGCTCAGCTTTTTTATTTGAGCAGTGCTTGCCAAGACAGTCTCTTTAACAAAATCTTTTAAATGTGTCTGTAAAATAGTAATCTTTGGCATCTGAGGAGATCTTTTATTTTCAGTGGTCTCTGGTTTATTGCCAGGGGTGTCTGCAGAGATGCTGGAGGGTTTCATGGGAGTGAAGCAGGATTTAAACATTTGCTGTTGGAGTTCTGTATGTTACCTTGTGCTATTATCATCCATAGGTTTTTGCAGAGGTGCTGGGTGCCTTTCCCACACAGAGCTGGGTTAGTAGCACTAAATTTACCATGGATTTTGTTTTGTGAGGAAACACAGAACAACTTTGAACCGGGCTTAGGTGATGCTGTATTTACCAGCAGCTCTTGGCCTGCTGGCAGGAGAAGTTTGAGCTTTGAGAAGTTCTGGAAGAGAGCAGAGGCTCGTGTTTTGGGTGTCTTTGGGGTGGTGCAGCAGAGGGCTGTGGCCGTGGCACATGGCACAGTGAGCAGTGCCAGGTGTGTCCCAGCAGTTCGTGGTCCCCGGGCTGGCGCTGCCGTTTCTATGGCAGCGGCGATTCTCTCCTCTCGGTAATCACGGAGCTGCTCAAAAAACAACGCCTGGAATTTGTTTTGCTCCTCACTTCAGTCGCTCCTGCCAGCTCCCAGCACGTTTGGTGTGGGTGCAGGAGAGCTGGGCCCCTCTGGAAGGGGGGTCAGAGCCACGTGTGGCACGGGCTGAGCCACGCGCTCCCGGGACGAGTTGGGAAGCAAACAGGAACTGGAGTGGCATCAGTCCCTGTTGTTCATCTCCTGTGGAGCTTTTCCACTGGCTCCCCCGTGTCTCTGAATTTTAGGAGATGCTCAAATGCAGTGTACTACTAAAAAAAAAAAAAAAAAAAAAAAAAAAAAAAAAAAAAAAGCTGAAGGGGGGTGGGTCATAGCGCCAGTGTTGTGCCGCAGGACCAAGGCTCTCCTGCCTGCCCCTCCCATCTTGAAGCATAGCTCAGGTATTTAAAATCCCCTTGAAAATTAAATACTGAGGCTGGAAGCAGATGATCATTACAGCCCCTTCCAATTCAAACCATTCTGTCATTCTATTCTATGAATTTATGGCCTGTGGGCATGGAGTGATTCTTCTCCAGCATTAATGACATCTATGTCAACAGGATGCTTCTTTTAGACCTGTCTTTCAACCAAAAGTGTTAGAGACAAGAAGAATTTTGTGTGGTAATATGAAGTGTAAATTATATTTCCTCTGCAAATCTTTTTCTAGAATTATTGCAGAGTTCATGATGTATTGTCATTTACTGAAGTGGTGTAGAATGATATTCTCTGTCCTTTACCTGGC